GGTCATGTTCGGTCACAATGTGATTTGATGGTACAATAATTGTAACATGTGTCACACACGTGACTGTCCCCCAGTCTGCAGTATCAGAGGTGAGGTAGTTTGAAAGGATTGCAAAGATGGAGAATTGGAGACATTCACACGGCCATGTCTGGCGGGAAGATCAAATTAATTGTTTTAGCGCTTCCAAAACCACGACCTACCCAAGCCCTTAGAATTACATTGAGAGTAGGACATAACTTCACCCGACGAACCAGACACAAAACGAATTCATCACGTTTAATTTTGCAAACGTCTTCTCGACCGAAATCGGGGAAGAAGGTAGAAAGGGGATATATTTGGTTCCGGGTGTTTTTTTTGGGGGGGGGGGAATAAGTTGACGCCCCCTTCTCCGCCAGTATGACTACCCTGGAGACTTCATAGTCTTTTCTCAAGTCGAATTGAGACCTCCTATTACAGCTACAGGAGTCATGATTTTTTTTTTTTTTTTTGTGGGTCAGATCATTCACGAGCCAATAACGTCTCGAAATGTTAACTTTGTCCGATTTTTTTTTACCGGAGCAGCAAATACCCACCAGTTGGCATTGTGACTTCCTCCAACTTAAATACATTTGGAGAAGTTCAAGCAAGTGGCCCACTTACACGAAGGAGGTTGGGCATCACGACCACATGAGTCCTTGGATGATTGTGCCGTAACCCAGAGGGGGAACTTTGAACTGGAGTACTTTTAATGTTGGATGGAAACGTTACTCAATGGGAATGTATTCACCGTGCAAACATAAGTAAATTGTTTAAATCTAGGATATAAAAATCGTATAGATGTGACTTTTGTTGTCCCTTTTCTATAGCCAAACATGACTTTTGCAATGATTCTTTTCCTGACCGCATTCCAAGATAATCTATGAGATACCCCCTTGCACAGCAAGGGTCTATGATATGTGAGCAGATTCGGTGATTAACATCCATATTCTGGCCATTCAGCGAGCGCCTTTTTTGGGGTCTTCCGTAACCCATTGTTGTTTTACAAAAACACGGCAGTTAAACTGGCCAATCAACGGCTTAGTCCACATTTCTGAACGAAAGACGTCACTGTTATGTTTCCGATTGGCTGGCGCGCGGGGTCACATAAATTGTGCACGGTTACGTTTTATATCAGACGTTCATTCGTGTGGCTCTGCACACGTGAATGTCTGATCCTCAGACTAATTCCAAGACGTTCTCAAGTCGTAAGCCAACTCCATCTTCTCCCCCGTCCAAAATGTCACCTTTCCTGCATGGTCGCATCGAGTTTTCTAAAGGAATTTCTTGTGTAGCGTTATTCCTTTCACATAGAGCACACCAAGCATATATACCTTACGTGTGTATTCCTTCCACACCCCTTGTTAAAAGTACACCCCATCCACCCACCCGTGCACACACTATCACTCAACCTTAGGTGATGATTACCAAACCTCGGCTTCATCTGTAGCTATGGCTCTAGCTTTATGGTATTGAGTCCCTGACTAGTGGAAAACACGGGCTCAGTATTGGGCCAATTCAAGATATACACTGAACGTCAAATCATAATAACACCAGGCCAAAAAATTAGACGATGTTCATTGGATTCTAAATTATTTTGAAGCCTCAGTGATATTTGGCTTCAGTGAAGCCGAAGGCGGAGATATTGCCCAGATCGGAAACCCCCTCCCACCCCAACTTCAATCCCCCTCCCCCTCCACCACCACCCCCTTCCTTTGAAAAATGGCTATCCCACATTCGAATCAGCTGTTGAATTACTCGCACATGGTCCGGGTACCCTACCATTGACCTCAGCATTAGACGACTCCCAGATGACTGGATAAATCAACATGTCAGAATTCCTGCTTACCTCCAGAGCACGGGAGGTATATCCCTGGGATTACCCTGTGCGACGGTGGGTTACGAATCCACTTGACTTGAGGGAATAATTTGGAGTAAATAACAGCCTCATGGTTCACCCAAGTACAGTTAAGAAATACCACAGATGCCTAGGAGAGAACAGTGTTCAGGAAGTGCCTTTAAGACAATTTGAAGGAAGAAGTTGTTACCGGCCATAATGTCACGTGATGCCTCGGTGCTTTTTGATTGGTTCTCATCCAAACAAAACACCCTCCCCCTCCACAACTTATGCTCGTTTGGTTGGGTGATGGAGGTGTTTTCCCTTTTCTACGTTCCGAAAATGTAAAACCTGAAAAGGATTCGGAACCGCACAAATAAAATAGTTTCATTCTCCCGCTGAATTTGTTTGGACAAACCTGGGACCATTTTAGACTTTCAGTCATTCATTGCGTAAGGGGATTGCAGGGGTAAAACCTTGAGCGGAGCGAAATAAAGCAACTGTTGTCTCTTGGGGTTCATGAGGATCAAAGTCCTCAAATTGAGTCGTGTCTGTTTACCCTTAAACCTGGCCAAGTCCTCCAAAACCCTCCTTGCAAAATGGAGGATTTTGCAGGATTGAGGCTATATGGGTGTGTGGCTGATTTTGGAGGATGCACTGTGTCAAGATCTTGGGCCAGACCTTGTGTTGTTTATGCTCAGCCGTGCATAAATTTGTGCCTATATTATGGCTGAAATCCTCCGCACTGCTCCAGGATGTCACTGGCTCTGCCTAATCATAGTGCCGGTGATAGCAAAAATGCCTAGGGAGTTAGGGTTAATGTAGCGCTGAGCAATTCATGTGCAGAAAGTCCCCCACTCGGAATTGTCCTGCTGTTACCTCGCCATTATTTGAGATCAATACGAATACGAGTTACATTTTTGATCGCAGTAAATTTTGCAAAACATATTAGTTTTTTAAACTCTAGTGGCGCATTAGCATAATTGGCTTCTTCCGACGCGACCGATTTTTGTGATGACAAGACGTCAGGTAAAATCAGAGCAAAGCTAGACTCGAACGGCCACTGACAAGGAACTGACAAGGAACGACTCCCCCCACCCCACACGCATCTGTTTGTCCCATTATACGCATTCCGACTTGGACCCATTTGGGTGAATTTTGGTGATTGAAAAGAAACGGGAATCAGGGGGAAAAAAATAAAGTCACTTCACGCTGGCACAGATCGGGGACCTGGGAAGGGTCACGCCTTCTTGGAACGATATTGTTCTGATTGGAGGGGAGGATTGATCCTTATGAATAGATGTAGCTGACAGACTTCGAGAATGAAAAATATCAAAGGAAGAACGAACGTTAAAACATGCGCAGACCTGTTCGCATCAAGCGTTTTCGAATGACAAATTTCTTATTCCCGACGGAAACCAATATAATAGTCCCTGGGATAAGGCCATTCAATCGAAAATGTTATGATTAATCTGAATATTATTTTCTGTTGTAGGATACTTTGGGACACCCGAAAATGGTGCTCTTCAGTTTCACAGCCGGTACTTTTGCCTTCCAGCTAAAAAAAAACCCTGTTATTTTTTGAGTTTATTTTTTGAAAAACATAAAAACATTTTTTCGGCCACTGCCCTCTCAAAAATGGTCCCATCCGGAACTGTTTTCACTTTTTACCATCTTGATAGGATGGATAAACAAGAAAAAAATATGGTTGGTCTAAAGTTTATCGGCATTTGTGTTCTCTGGCCTCTGGGGTATATTGCTTCGAGGCCACCCCCCCCCCCCCCCCCCCCAATCGTGCGACTTTGCCCTATTTGGGGACAGAAATAATTTCGAAACTCATACCTATTCTTAAGATAAACACTTTCTTTGTAATTAAAAAAACCTGCCTGTGACCACAAGCTTTAATTTGAGTGGTAAATAAGCTTTGTCTTGAAAATTGGGCTCGTTATAAGCATTTTGCTTACCCTCTACCCCTTAATCACTCATATAGCATAGCAAACCTATCGTGCATTTTGTGATAAAAGCGCCAAAGACCGATATATCATATCAACAAAATTGCGGATTTTGGACCATCGCAGAACGACGGCCGTGGGAGCCATCCTTTAAAAAGTGCCGAGTCATGCGAGTCAGCACTTTTTGGTAATGCGTTTTCTTGAGCAATATGGACGCCCCTGCCTGCCCCCAAATTATCAGGGGGATAATTTTGTATGTCTCCCCCCCCCCCCCCCCCCATCCCCAGGGAATTTTAAACCATTTCATTGTATCATTCAGCTCAGGCATGTTGTTAATACAGGTCCGACTTTTCACAATATTAGACGTGGAAAAGATGACTAACCTGGAAGAGTCGCAGAAAGGGAGATTTAAAAGCAAGGGGAGGGGATGTAAATGTACTGCTTCTGTTGAGTTTTGTGGATGGTGTCTGCCTTTTCTTTTGGCGACGTTACTTAAAAAAATATTGTGGATAGTTTTGGTAACCATGCGGAATATTTGTCCGCAAGTGGGCGAAGCCATTTTCGTGAATAATTCAGTGGTTCCATTGCAGGACACTTTTACGTTCTCGTCCCCCCCCCCCCCCCCCCCACACGCCCGTCCGGTTTTTTTTTTTATTCCAACGATACATTTGGAGAAGAAAAATACGAAAATGTGCATCGGTGGATTCGAACCAGAGACTTTCTATCCATAGCTCCGCTCGCTATCGATCCACCAGGCTACTGGGTAGGCCGCTCTTTAAAATGCTTTAATGTAACCAGTTGACTAAATGATCCCATCGAAACTACTGAACTATTAAGTAAGATTTGGGGCTTTGCATGGTGGAGATACTGATACTAATTACTGAATTATTCATGATATTGCTTCACTCACCTACGGAAAAAAAAAATCGCGTGCCATGCTCATTGGGAATGAGAAATTGCCGAACTCCCAATGAGAATGAGATTGGGCATTACTCTTAACTATAGTATCTGGAAGACCACTTGATGGTATTTTTTTCTAAAGCCTGCGTTCCATTTTATGCGTGTTCTCTCAACCACCAGTTGATTTTGAATCAAGTATCGATGAGAATGGCATGACATCCTTGGGTCAAACATATTCAAAGCGCCCTCTGTTGACGCACAGTGACGGGCAAATAATTGACGTGATTCAACTTGCATTTATTTTAGTTTTAGTCTATAACCAGTAAAAATCACAAGCATCAATACATTCCACAGTAAGTGTGTATGCTTTCCGAAAAAAGGCAGGAAAAAACTTTATTTTCTGATCCCAAGACAAAGAATCGAGGTTGCAAGAAAACCATTCAGCATAATTGCCTCAAACATAAACATAAGCTTGCAGCAAATAAAACGAAACCTTAATCGTCAGCTCATTAATCGATCCTCAAACAAAATAAAGCAGAATATACATGTACATGAAACACCATGAACGTTACTTAGAAAACATGATGCTAAGTCCAGCCAGTACTCCTCCAAAATTTCGTTTAGACTACAGAAATACGCTACTTCTACTAAAACTACTTTTACACAGTCGATTTGTATTAAAGATTCGATATTCATCTATTAATTTTACAGAAAATGTACAATCATAGTCACATTACATCTGACATTGCAAATAGCAGCGTTGTCTGGGAACCAGACTTCTGCAGTGTTAAGATCACAATGCACACATGAGGACACTTATTAAATACAACGTCAGACAACTTTGAGGTTTTGAGGCTCAAATTGGCAGTTTCTGCACTCAGTTTTGTTCGTCTTCTGAATACAATTCTTCATATCAGCTATCAGGCAAAGGAAAAATAATCGGAACTTGCCAATGCCTCGGATATGTATGAATGGAATGATCACGGAATGTCATAATCGGAAGAAAAATGTCGTTTTTCGTCAATAATGATCAGCATGTTGTCACTCATCATCATTCTTTCGTCTTTTCGTGGTTTACACCTCGCCACTTTCAACTTCGACTCATTCATGATTGAATTGCTGTTGGCATGGTTACCAAATAAACAATGGTAACTATATTTCACAGCATTTATTGGTGTCATTTTGTCTGTCTGACAAATTGGATATAAAAATAACTCCCACTCAAACCATATTTGGTCAGAAATTTGAGCACAACAATCGGTGTCGCCTTCACCTGGTTAAGAGGAAACACAGGTTCGGCGGATTAAATGTCACGTTAAAATGTCACCTCTCTGTAATCGGTTCACCATTGTTCTCATTAAGAACGCCCTCTTTTGGTTGCAGCCAGAGAGTGGCAGGCTAAAAATATACTTGTTTGGATGTTAAATAGTGTTACTTGTATTGCTCCAACTCATAAATCTTCAGGGGAAAAATTTACTTTTAACAAAGTGGTAGTTCAATTGTTGTTGACAAAAACCAAAATAAACTTTAAAAATCCTGTACACGCTGCATAGAAAACAAACCTTGTGTGCATTTCTCGACTGCCACTTGCGCAATGAAACCAAGAGAGGGCGCTATATTTGTGATCTATTTATAAAACAAAAACAAAGACATCGGATTCCGCAGCTTTTCAAGTAATATTACACAATTTTTCATAACAATTTTTCGTAACAAGGATACATAACTTCGAAATATTTTCTGTGTATAAAAAGCCATTTTCTATTCACAATGCATTTTGAACATTCCGTCCAATAAAAAAAGTACACATCATTTTTGTTCAGACAGTTCTATATTTTTACAATTGGGTATCATGTAAAAAAAAAATTACATGTTCGTTATTCTTAAAACATTACAGACTGGTTATTCATGAATCTGTTTTAGGTCACATACAATGTAATTATGGCGCTTAAAAAAATGGAACTCCGTAAAACTCGATAAAACATCATCTGCAGAACATATTCACAGTTCAAGAAAACAATTAACCAACGTTCTTCGCAAAACGCCCAAACAGTGATGTTAACATCAAATAAACTGCAAATAATTTCGTTTCACATATTCCATTCACATATTTTTACTACATCATACATGTTCCACAAAACATGAGCTTGCAACGAACAAAATATTCATGAATATGCAGCGCGTATCCAGAGTGGGCGGGGATAAGGTCACGTGGCACACATTAAAGGACCTCCCCAAAAAATCAACGACCACCAAATTTGCATGAGGCTGTTTGTTAAAACAAGTTCTCACTTGGTCAAAATATGCTCTCAGCTCACACATTTTTAGGCATTTTACACACATTACTACAAATGTTATCATTTTTGCACCCAATATTCAAGATCCAACTAAGCCCCGCCCATCTAGTTTCTGGTTGGTCCGCTAAGCATGCATATTCAATTGAACGTGATGCCATTCGTCTTTCAACAAACCACACATTCGTTTTTGGCATTCGGCTTTTTACAGCACGTAAAGTTGTTTTCTTTACAAACTTGGTTGAGCGCAACTGTTATCGCTCATTCCTTTTGTCTTACTTTCTGTCACTCACTCGCGTGGTGACGTAAGTGTGACGTCATAGATTACCGGAGCTCCTGCCGAGCAGAAATACCTCCACAATATTTCCGCATCAGGCTATGCTCCGGTAGTTTTTTTTTTTTTTTAGCTTTTTTTATTTTTTCGTATTTTTTTTGGTAATATATAAAGCTTGAATGAACCACTTTCGTGATATTCAATCAAACTGCATATATAACTTTTTTTTTATTTTTTCATATTCTTGGTTGTTTTTAGTTTTTTTTTCTTCTTTACTTCTTTTTGCTCTTGCTTATCTTTGCGTATTGTGGTGTTAAACAAATACGACTGTTTCTTAACTTGTTTCGTTTCAATAGTTACCCGTTGTTCCGACTGACAAAATTGGTAGTTTTTTCCAGATTTCTGTCAGATACCTAGGGCACCAAGGCCTTGGTATTCTATACAAAAATATAACTTTTTTTCTTTTTTTTCTCTTCTGATAACAAAATCGGCAAGATTCTTTACATTAAGGGCGCGTAAAGCTTACAAATTGATGCAAAGCTCGCATACGTAGTACACAGCTAATAGCGACATGTAGACAAACTTTGCAGTACTTTACATTCGTCCGAGATCGCCACAAGCTTAAACTTTAGTGTTTGACTCTATACAAGGTTTTTCTCATCTGTTTGTCATGTACGTATCACAAAAATTGCATAATGATAACATGTGTACAGTGACTACATTCCACATAGTTACACGTCAGGGTTTGGTCCAATAATATTGAGTACAATGTAGATTCGTTCTCAAAGTACATAAAAGTAGAAGGCTTAAATTGCAAATATTGAATGATTTGATATCGACCAGAACAGGACCGGTTCGTTGAAGACTGATAATTTGATAATAAACGGTTTTAACTTCTGGTCGGTTTTTGCATTTGTAAGTTCACGAAAACATCAATTCGTAATTTAGTACCATTAATAGATTACAATTCAAGATTGCTATTTAAGCCTTCTCGATAGCATTTACTTTTACTTTGACGTTCAATGTGTAGTTTACCATGTTTACCTCAGGTTTAAGATGAACTCGCATCTGGTAAAGTTCACTGTCCCATGTGGTTCCATTTAGTACTGTAAGACAAGACTGGAACTTGGCCAAAAAAGCTGCTCGTTTTAGCTGCAAAGTGGTGGTGGTCAAAAGTTTACATGAAGTACTCGGGCGATTCGGGACTACTCGGCAAACTAACGGCTCGGGGTCGGCGGGAATTCTTCACCAGTTCGAGTTCTTTACGATACTTGTCTCGTTCGTTCTGAACTCGCTCCAGCTCTTTCTTGAGCCGTGTCACCTCGGTGTGAAGGTACAGTTGACTGTGTTCGAGATCCATTCGCTGCTTGAGACGCTTGGTGCGGCAGCATTGGGCGTAGCCTCTGTTCTTGAGTGTCCTTCGTTTCTGCTTCAGCTTTACAACGTCCTCTTTCTTGTAGCCTCGGAGCTGACGATTTAGTTCCCTCACGGTGAGGCGAACTAGCTCGTCGTCGCGGTACAAGGAAAATATGTCTTTAGTCGGCTTGGTCACGGCGGGTGCGCCTGGGTCGGTACTGTCTGAATCAGCCGAGGATGAGATACTATCCTCATCTTCATCATCTTCTTCTTCCTCCTCCTCTTCATCGTCATCGCGCGGCTGAATTCCCGAACAGTCCGAAAACTTGTCGTAGTCGAGGTCAGAGGGACAGGTGAGTGTAGTGGGTAACTCACCTGTATCGCTAGTACTGTAGACCGGAGACATCAGCTGTAAGTTATTTATGGTCGTTAGAGACTGGATGCTGGACATCCAATAGAGCTCATCAAGGCTTGGTTTGTACTCCATATCCACCGGGCTGGGTATTAACCCCAGATCGTCCGGTGATTGAGGTACATCAACGCACGGGGACTCAACTAGCGGAGTCAACAATCCCGTGCCGAGATTGGGTAGGTTGGTCGGTGGGGAGCGACGCTTGGCAGGCCCGGTACCGGAGTTACCGCTGCTCGGTGCTGCGGTAGTCGTCCCGGTACCTTGGCCCTGGAGTAAGCAGGACGTTCCCAGAGAGTTAACCTGATCCTCTCGCTTTACCTCGATGTGTTCAAGAGCCAACGGCAACAGGTCGAAATCCTGAATGTATTCCATGGCTAGAGCGGCATCCGTCTCGAAGTCACAGCTAGTCGTCTGGTCTGTACTTGCCATCTCCCGTACACTGCAGCTGGGTTTCTGATCGAGTCACGCTATACACACGCCGAGCTAGCACCGGGGAAACTAGCGGGGCTGTCGGGTGACCCTACAGCGAGGTCAGCGTGCTGTGCTGGAATGACGGCTACCCCTGTCTCGCGCTTGTCAAATAAATGACTTGTGCGTGTGTTTGTGTGTGTGTGAGTGTCTCTCCCAATCTCTCCTGTTGTGTTTATGCGCTCTTGTCGCGGTCTGGTCGTGCGGTGGTAAGAGCGCAAGCACCAAGGTGAGTCGGGGGTAACCCCGGAGAGAAATTTGAGACAGTAACCCGATTCCCCCAAGGGAAAGACCTTGCGACGGCTCACCAGACAAACCGCCGTTAGGTGTGGAGGATCCCTAGGAGTGAATGCGGCAAACAACGATCGCTACACTACGCGCGAGCCTGCTATATACCCGTCACCGACCGCGATGACGTCATACATTACTTCCTATATTCAGCTCATTACATCACTTTGAACCAATCAGCGCTGACCTTCACAAGTGGAATAGGAATTTCCCGGATGATGTACTTCGGTGTACAATGTTCACAGTTCATCCACGGAGAATTGGTTCAGGGCGCATTAACAATAATATCGATATTCAAATTTTTCGGATCACTCTCCCAGCTCGTGCTTACATATCGAACAAAGGTTAATTCTGTTTTCAACAATATCTTTTACTGTATTAACAATTTTGATAAGCAAAACACAGTGGATTATTTGGTAACATTTTACTACCAGTATTAAAGCCAAAACGAATGCAGACTATAGGATATCGTTGCCTGGTGCTGAAGATTGTGGGCAAACAGAGATAAAATTATTATAAATTATCCCTATTGTGAATTATTTCTATCACAGATGAATTGATTATTATAAACTGGTATGACTAAATATGACGAAATATGCCGCAACAATCAGAAATTTCTAGAGAATCTGAACACGGTAATTATGACAACACTTTATTCATGTAGAAAAAAAAAACCTGAAAATCGGTTCGTCCATGCACGGCTCTATATACACAATCACATCAAAATAACTCTCCTACCATTTTATTTTAGCAAGGAAGACGTTGTTTCTGATGCCAAAACTGTAGGCCTACACCTTTTATCTGGTACAATGTACTTAGTATATGTGGTTGTGTGTTTGTGTTCTTTTGATCTTTTTAATAAATATAAACCCGTTATATTCGCAAGGGGATTTGCATTGAGCGAGTCCCTTTAAGAAGAGGCATTGCAAACTGTTGGGGCAATACCAGAAGCGTGCGCATATTCGTTACTTCCTTTATGTTTGCTTTCAATGGGTTTGACTCACCGGTTGGCTTTCATTATCCAACCCGTGTCGTCATTAAAGGGACGCGCACGGTGCCGGTGACCCCGTACATGTACATCATTACATGACTGTGTTCTGCCCTATTCTCACTAAAATAATCGCAACATTGTATTCCGTGGTTTGAGAGCATTTACATTATCTTGGACTAAAATCTTCGCAGTGATACATTGTACATTCATTGAACATGATTCAAGTCACGGTTTTGGGTAAATTTCTTAAACATCACATGAACTGACAGCGTTAGCCCATGGAGCAGGGCGGATCCCGTAAAAATATTTGCCTTCACACATCACTGGTTCTCCAAAACATTTTGTATTCGTAGTACAAATAGAGACAAGCTACTTAGCATGTCAAATTTGATCCGCCCAGTTTCACGTCCCGCTAGAGAAAGAACACTTAATATAGTACACCATCATCAAAAGAGTTTTAACATAAAGACCGGCTTGGTAGATTTTGCTGGCAATTAAGGAAACCTCAAATAACAAATGTAAAGCTTTCAAAATAACTTTTGTTTTGATTCCGCAGACCCCCCCAAAACAATTCTAGCCCACATGTATATAGAAAAATCATGTATAACCGCCCCCCCCCCCCCCCCCCCCAGTAAAAAGAAGTCCTCATTAGGCAAAAATGTATTTCAATATACCGTTGGAAAAAAAATTAAAGTAGAAGGCTAAAAGAACTTTTATTTCGTCTCAAGCTCGATCGGCCAATTACCGATGACTTCCATTTCTTCGCATTTAATGTGGGTTAAGTGGTGGTATATTTCGCCATTTTGAGCACGGTAACAGGTCCTCCATGTGATCTATTACAATAGAGACCAGTCACTTGAACACGCAATGACACACTGTCTATCCCCCAGGCCATAGAGACTTGTGGAGCCCAACTCGGAAACAGGAAAAGATTCAATCAGATCTCGCCGTCTGTTCGGGATCTCGGTCTCTCTTAATAAGCCCGTCAGTGGTACAATTTCCAATTTGGTAGCGGGAAAAGTGAGAATTTTTAGGACTTGTGAGAACGTGCGTAAGTGTGAATTGATTCCTTTTTCTTTCTTTCTTTTTTGCTGGACTATTAAGAGGGCATGGTGGTTTCAGATTGAAGCAATTATTCTCGGGATGAGTGGAAATTGTAGACAATTATAATAATAATTCTGTGGTATCTTTCCCCATTTTTTTTTCAAGTAAAAATTATTTTAAAAACTTGGATTGAGTAATTACACATGGTATGGCATACTGTACTATTTGGGGCATTGGAAAATATTAAACGGCTAAAATTTGAAAATTTCATTGCCGTATAGTTCCCTTTGTGTGTGTCGTATTACATGACATGACACCCCACCCCCTCAATAAAAAATTAAGGAACAGTTAAATAAGCATTTGAAGCTTCATTGCTGTGTCATATACTCATGCCTAAATATATGGAACGAAAACACATGTACATGCACAATGCGGCGTGCAATATGTGAACAGTTACAAAATTTCAACTTGTTGCGCAATGTGTAAACATGCAGCACTGCACGGGCATAGGTTTGTGAGTCTATTAATATAATGCTATACAAAATGATCTCTGTACCGTGCGTTATGCAGCAACATATTGCATTATGTTGATAGTATTATCAATAGATATTGACGTAGGCCTATATTATCAGTTTTGCACACACTATTGACCTTGTGTTAATAATATTCTGATCTGACAGTCACATTGCGTGCAGGTTTACGTTAAATGACAAATATTAATGTGTACTGCATGGATGTTGGTTCATTCTGTTCCATACACGGACATTTTGGCGGTAAAAGTTAACATAAAGATGAATTGAACTTTAAAATAATCATGAGATATGTATAGAAAAGAAAAGGCATGTCTGCTAGTGATTCATAACAACTAGTAAAAGACAATACAATATGAAGGCATGGTTTTGATTCGAATTAGATTTAAGACGTAAATTGCAAGCAAGTACCGGGTAACCAAAACTGTACACCACAGAGCAAGGAAATATCTGTATGGGTACGGGCGAAGAGGGGGGGGGCTTGATTCTCCTGTCTAGCCCCGCCCCCCCCTACCCACCAACTGTTTACCCAACTCACGCATACCGTTACGTTGAGAACATTTGGCAGGTCTGATCACAGACTCGTTACCCCAACGAGGACACACAACAAGGTCGTCTGGAGGACAAACAATCCTCAATTATCGGAAGAATTTCATCCCCCATAAAAAACAACACAAGGACCCCTTTAAATCTTTCCGTGGCGGGCAGCTTGCACATACAAACGCCGTTTGCGTATAAACAGCCTAAAACTACATGTAAGACAGGACCACTGACCCGTTTCCCAGCACTTTATGAAAACAAAAGTGCCTGAGTTTTCCCTGATATTTCGTGAATAAATTTCCAAAATCCAATGAGAAATATTTTCACTTTAACGAGGTTGCCGGGGAGTCAAGAAGTTCTGTTAAAATCAATAAGAAGTGGTGTAGCACTAAGCACAGCCAATTGATATTCTGGCGAGGTGTGTAATATTCACACTGCATATAAACACTAAATAGCTAATCACAGCCGGCCAGTCAGTTAATAAACACAACTTGGACACATGGCACAAGACGCGTGTACGCCAAACTGTTAAAAACCTTTCCCTTCTGGGTCGCTGTTAACATGGGCGTCGTCAGGATTTTTTTCCGGGGGGGAGGCAAAGCAAACTTTCCCCCCAAATTCCTTAACTTTTTCATTATATTCTCAATTTATCATTTTTGCGAGCGTGAGCTCAGAGATTGGCTGGGAACGAATCCTGGTTACCGTCTTGCCTGAATCATCCTACATGTTCCTTGTTTCAGCTGGAATCTAGGTCAACTTGATAGCCCTCATTTTTTTAAAAAGAAAAAAAAACAAATTTATTGCACCAATTTTGAGAGTCGAGACACGATTAAACTAAAATTAAAGACAGACTTTTTCCGAACGCTGTGAAAAAAAGCGGAAAATTGCCTTTCCAAATCTCCAAGGACCTCCGTCGAACAGTGAGGGGGTTTAAGATGACCTTAAAAGGTCACGCGTACCGTTACCATGGCGATATCCAGCAGGTTTTTAATTAATCAATTCTGGGGGTCTCCATTATTAGAAAACAGGTGTTTTAGCCAGGCATCTGGGCTGAGTGCCTTGGAAGGTCAGGTCTCAATGGGGATTGACCTGGGCTCTGGTCTGGCGAGAAAAACCAGGGACCAAAATTTGGCGGCCGCTCTGTCATTCATCGCGATGGAAATATGGATACAATTTGTTATAATTCGCTTGATGTTCATAGATTTCAACAGAGATTAATAATTTGAGTAATACAATGACGGATTGATATCGCTGCCTAGAAATTCAGTTTTGGAAAGGATGCTGCATCATGACGCCGCTTTTTTTTTCATCATTATATTTATCTCAATGAAGGTCTGTCATTGCAGAAATGTCGAAAAGACATGAATCTGGGATTGAGAAACATTTCCAATTTTGTTGGAAAATAGTTTGAAAATGCACTCGACTCTCTGTCGACTTTGTACACAACCACAGAAGTGGCGTCTGGATACTTCATTCTGTCCTCGTTTTTTTTTTTGGCCCAAAAATAGGGCACTGGCTGTACTGTCGCACAAGTGTTAAAACGAGAAACATCTTGACTCTTCATGGCTCCATGATTTAACTATCATTTTTTTTTATAATCTCAGGTGGTTTTGTGTGGTTTACTGTCACCTGTACACGTGCTTTTATAAATTTAGCATCTTTCATGTCACGCAAATTCAAGGAGCTCGAGGCAAATGGTTAAAACAATTATTTCACAGCTATTTGTGACCTTACATGTTTATACATGTTTGACAATAATTCTCATTTTTGAAGGTTTGTGGTCAACAATCCCTAGAACCGAACGCGCACCTGCACTGTGGTCTTGTCAGGCAGGCAGCAAAAGTGGCAGTGTCACATCATATCAACGCCCCGACTGTAAATATTTGGTCAAACCAAGTTTCAAGGTTGTGTTTTCCTCTCTGTAGTTCGGATTCATTCACCAGGACTGCAGGGGGGCCTGGGCGGGGGTTTGGTTGACGAAACACGGCTTGCTCGGTAGCCTGAGTGCGGTCACCGCTTCGGTGTTTGGGTTGCGGTTGGGAGAGTTTTTCAATCTGCGGTTTGTTGTAACAGCCCACAAGGCTAATTACAAGGGGACTGTCGTTAAGATGCAGGGTCACTGCTCATCAACTTCTCTTCTGGTGGCTATTAAGTTGGTATGGGGTTGTGGGAATGGCTGATGGGAGGAGCCGACAAAGGAAGGGGGCAGATGTTGTTGCCTCCAATACTCATTACATTAAGGTTGACCAAAATCCCCACCCTGGGGCATGAAAAACATGCCAAAACCCGGACACCGGACCTGGGGCAGCCCGTGGGGGGAGGGGTGGGGGAAACAATTGATAGACGCATTAACCTTAAATAAACTGAATGTATTGTAGAGCTATCTTATCAGGATAATACTAACTTTTATTTTGTCATACAACTTTATAAAGTTTTTAATGACAGATTTTTGTTACTCAGTGTACCAAGTTAGACAGGGATAACTAGGAACCAAGAAATGAACCTGGAACTAGGGCACTGAAAGGTAGCCAAGTTGAGAAAAAAAATGTGTTGCGATGTAGGCCAAGGCTGCACACTCACTTTGGGAATCCGCAACTTCCTTTAAAAAAAAAATGACACATGGAAATCAGGTAATGAAGAAAAAAAGAAGACAAAGTCTGAGATGCGAGTTAAGAAATGCACTAATGCAGGTGAGGAAAGGTGAGACTAGTCACATGGGATGAGGGGCTGATGAGTGATGAGGACCCTAGGACTAGTCAAAGAAGTCGTGGTGTGACAGACAGTACGCTCTATGGAGAGACATTATTGCGTGATGATAATGATCTTAACATTACAGACACATTATAATGAAATTTGCAGGAAGACCTCTTTGGTTTGCCCTGCAAAGTTAGCAACAGGTGGTAAGTACCATACACCCCCCTTAGGGTGGTGAGGGGTAAAAGGGGAGGGCATATTTTTAGGGGGTACTTCACAAATTGATTTTCAAAAAATAATCTTATTCTCCTGTGAGTTTGTACGTGTACATGTACATGTAATGGCAAGCTTTATGTGAAATGCAATAACAAATATACAGCCATGTCGAAATGGGAAATGTTCGTCTATGGCTATTCACCATACTGCAACAATAGCAAAAGCCATTGTCGTAGCCACAGCATGCCTGATGACACAGCCTAGCCTCAGACCAATCCGAGTTGTCCACTTTTTGTGGCTACTGGTCTGGCTTTCCTCCATAGACCTTTATCATGAAGCCACCATTTCAGTCTTGTTCCCTGTATCCAATAACAGAACTGAATGATAATATTTTTATGAAAAAAGGGAACCAGACTATTTTTCCTTCTGACCTCGCTTTGGTTACATTGATTTAAATGTGGAAAAAATCAAGATGGCCGCAACGTGATAATGGTCTATTACCGGGATGCTTCAAAGCTTGATTTGGTATATCTCACAATGCGCTCCTGTTTAGAGTGGCGTGTTGAGATCTATAAAAAAAAAACGCACGTGTGATAAATGCTTGGGCATGGAAGCGTCCCTCAAAATCGGATCGGTGTATATTAAGGAACTTTACAACAGCGCCCTCAACTCTGTGCATACCGGGATTAAAAAGGTTCTTACACTCGATATAAGCACTTAAATATGTTCCCCTTCTGGATCGACCAAATAACCTCTGGTTCTCCAATAAAAGGCAACTTGTTATCCCAACGAGGAAGCCAGATGAGAATCTGAATGGATACATCAATCATACCAGACTTATTTATAGACCAGACAGACACCACATGCTATGTTGCGGCCCGTTTGTATCAAATCCCTAAGAACGTTGAACGACAAAACCATACATGAAGATATGTCTAACTTTAATGTTGAAAACATTTTTTAAGCAAATATAACGTAAGACTGGAACATCAAGAAGAGTGTTAAGGCAAAATCAGAATAAACTCAACTAGCCAAACAAATGTGTAAACTTCACAAATTTGACATGAACACAAAATTATGGCAAAACTATGTATAGAATTGATTTAAAAGTAATATACAAATTTGCAAACAAAGAAAAAAACTACCAAATTAGTGCAAGTCGAACATCCTGTGGAAATCATGGCACCTGGTGTGCTGTCAATTTCAGGAAAAGTGGAATTTTTGTATCAATTCCCAACGATGGTCAGCCGACCATCTTTGAAAAAAAAAACTGGGTTTTTTTCCTTCAAATATTGCTTTTTTTCAAATACTGCCCCCTATGTGCCCAATGTATAGTTCGTCCACATTTTGTTTGCACATCCATGAATGGGTGCAAGCCAGCTAGTCTGGCTCCCAGACTTGACAATTCCCAAACGTCTTATAAAGTGCTCTGTTATGGTCAGGGAAAGACAAGAACAACATTTTTTTTCTCTAAAACAGGTCAGTGTAACAGTGTTTGTTATAAAATGCTATCCCCCAATTCCATCCATTTCTAAAAATTACAGCAAAAGCAAATGTTGTATATTACCTTTAACATGGAACCTAACAGTAATGTTACACAAAACCAAAGCTGCAAACATTAATAAAGGAACCCTTTCATAAAGAAACTATTTATAAATAACATTCTTCACAGAATAACATATTACATAACTTTCATCTATGCTCAGGTCAAGCATGTTCTTTTGCCTGATCTCTGTGAGTACAGCAATTATCCTGAACCTGCGTTCTTGTTTATGATCAATAAAAAAGAAACATTCAAATAAATCACTACTTACATGTACTTTGCAAAGTTGTTATAATATTTCCTTATATACAATAATTTTACAATGAGGAGTGGAGCATATTATTGGAATTGAATTTTTTTTATACGAAAGAGGGGACTTTAACTGGTTTGTGAAAGATAACCAGGAATTCAAAGGAAATTTCTAAAGATTTTTGTTAAAAAATGCTAAATTTTAACCAATTTGTTTTTCTTCTGATAAATATTTGCCAAAAGAAATCACTTTTTGGGGGGGGGGGGGGGTAATAAGAGAATTGTTTTTTTATAATTTATTTATTTATTTTTCCGGGGTTTGGGGATAGCATCAAATATCTGTAGAACTGACTTAGTTATACACAAAACTTGGTTCATTACTCCCTAGGCACTTTTGCTAGGATGCAACCTCAATCCTGCAAAATCTTCCAACTGCCTCCATGTAAAAATTGCACACAGCGTCAATTCTGCAAAATTCTCCATTATTTCTTGAGTGTTGTCCTTGGAGGGGTGACCACAGCCTCAATCCTGCGAAATCCTCCAGCAATCACTGTCAATATGTTGAGGCAGAGCCAGTGACATCCTGGAGCAGTGCAGAGGATTTCAAGTATAATCTAGGCCTAAACTTATGCATGGCTGAGCATAAACAGCACAAAGTTCGGTCCAAGACGTTGACACAGTGCATCATCCAAAATCAGCCACACACTTTTGACGTAATTATAGCCTCAATCCTGCAATATCCTCCATTTTGCAAAGAGGATTTTGGAGGATTTGGGAAGGTTAGGGTTAACAAAAATAGCTGGACAGTAAATGAAGCACAACTGGCATTTCCACATGCCTGGTCTCTGGTTTTGAAGACTGGTCTGGCCCCAGACCCTCAGTCCAGTCTGGCTTCAATGCTGAATGTTCTCTGACTGCGTAGATGGGTGTGGTCCTTGGCACATTCTCTAGTCTGGCTTCCGTGTAGACTACCACATCATTTGGAGAATCGAGGTTTTATTCTCGAGCTTCTTCTAAGCTCTGAATAAAGAAACAGAATACAAACCACAAAACTTATCTCACAATAAACTAAGGGGTCAACATTGCATCTGTAATCAAATTCTGGAAGTAAGCTGTAAAGTTATACATTCAATTGTTGCATAAAATGCTGGTTTCACACCATCCTCTTTTGACTTCAGAAACTAATTACAGTGTACATGTATTTTCAAATCAATGTGTGGCATCTGATGGGTAATACTCTGATTTTGACAAATTTTGTCAAAATATAAGGGAAAGCAGCCACATGTATCCTTTTTCTGAGTTCATCAAGACAATTTTACAGGCAATTTGCTCCATGCAGAGAAGAAAACAACAGGCAAATTTTGATTCTGTGTAAAGTAAGTAAAAGTCTGTCACAATCCAACATAGCCCATCGGGCTGGCGTTTATCTCCAGTTTCCTTGGCACAAAATGACTGAGAATATGTCTATTCCCCCTGGATGGGACCAGTCCATCGCATGCTACTCCCCAGCTAATGCCAATACCCATTTATACTCTGTGGGGAGAGGCAAATGGGGGTAAAGTTGCTTGCCCAAGGACACAACATATGGCCAGCAGCTGGATTCAAACCCCTGACCCTCTGATCGTGATTCGCAAACCCTAAATGACTGAGAATATGTCTATTCCCCCTGGATGGGACCAGTCCATCGCATGCTACTCCCCAGCTAATGCCAATACCCATTTATACTCTGTGGGGAGAGGCAAGTGGGGGTAAAGTTGCTTGCCCAAGGACACAACATATGGCCAGCAGCTGGATTCAAACCCCTAACCCTCTGATCGTGAGTCGCAAACCCTAACCGCTTGGCCAAACTTCCCCATTACAATTTACAGGTAAGGTTCCGGGGAATTCCAAAAACTGTTGGAGCAATGTACTTCAGTCGTCCCTGGGGTTCCTTTATTTGTACGTGCACTTGGTCTCCTGCAAGTTTCCTATGAAAATTGCCTCGTACGACTTGACTCTTACTGAAGCAAAAGAACATTTTCCCCATCCTTTGCTCAGAAATGTTATACCATGGAGGGACGTTTGTGTTCCTTCCTCCATGGTTATACCACGTACCACACTCCCTTAGAGTATACCGGAATCAGTCATGTCCCGCCTAAGCCAAGACATTGCGTGCCAGGAGATTATAGCATCAGCCCGTACAGTCGGATATATTTCATGTAGGTATGGGCTCTTTGAACATTAGTCCGTATATCATAATTACTGTCAGGTAGGTCGACGGTTGTAAATCTTAAGGAGTAGAAGGTGTGAACGGGAGCACTGGCAACAGTTACAGTGAGGGTGGTGATCCATTTCTAGGCATCAGGTTTCGGGAAAGCCAGAAACACTTCCAGCCTGTTAGCTTGAACGATTTGCTGTTATGTTGTGATTGTAAGAGGTTATTGGTTTGTGATCAAGGATAAGGATGTGACTTTGCGTTTAATTTTGTAAACGTTTAGCAAATATTTTAAGAGTTACACCCCTCCTACAATGTTGCCATCCCTTCAGTCTCCTGACAACAGGCAGAGTATACGTTCTGAAATGTTGAGTTTCCCCAGTTTTTAAAACAGGGCAGTTAGCTTGTACACACACATCTTGAATGAATAAAATTGTACTGAATCTGAAATGCACAATTAGGGACATACAATATACATACATCTGTGGTATGTCAAAAGCTGGGAAGCCGTAGCCCAAGCCATAGACAAAAAAAGCCAGCTTTCAAAACATGCAACATGATGCCTTGAAAGTGTTAGCCTTAGCCTTAGCCACAGACCAAACCAACCTGACCATGATTGCAACACAGCAACATTATTAAGTTCCCTGAAGACAGTGCCAAGAGATAACAACGCCAATGTGCCATTGAAGAGCGTCACTCATCGGCCGTGTTTGTCAGTGGGGATGTCTGCCATTATAAAAGGGTCAACACGTTGCCAGACACTAGGAATGATCCCCAAAACAATCCAGCGTTAACAAGGTCATAAGAACATTCAGTGAAGCCCTGGGCATGGGCTAATGCATTCTGACTCAACCTTGCTTGTATCTTTCAGTACAAACACAGAAAAGGCCCAATTTCATGGCTCTGTTAACCACAGAATTCCACGCTTAGGGTTACCATTCTGTGCTAACAGTGCTAGCAAAAGAATTCTGCGCGGGGCGGGGGGGAGACATACCTTGATCAGAACTAATGCAAGTGTGAAATGGGAACCTCTTACGGCATGGGGTTTGGGGCCCACTAGACAATCTGAGGCAATTTCTGACAACTATAACCAATTTTTTTTTAGCAAAAGATCATCATTTAAACATCATTTTCGAGTTTGGAGTCATTGAATCAGCTATTCTGAGCTACAGAATCAAATAAAGGCTACAACTTGTTGTTCGGGGACGAAAATAGTGGGGGGGGGGGAACAAACGATACGATAATCCCCACTTTAAAAAGTGGGGGGGGGGGGGGGGGAGGGCCCAGTCCCCCACCCTTTGACGCCCATGGTTCACAAGTACGGTTACGAGTAAAAGTGGATGAACAATAACAAAGGAATGCCTCCGTCACAGTTCATGAATAGCTTGCGAGTTAATTGGGACCGGAGGACTTGTGATAGACTTGTGGGGACTTGCAGGGACTTGTGATGGACTCACTACAACACCGCTTGGCCCCCAGGAATTGGAGTCAGCTGTTACAGGAATATAGCATCAGTGTGCCTATCCACAAACAACCAAACACGTGTGCAAGCAATCATGTGATCATAATTGAAGTCATGTGGAAATGGAAAGTGCCAATTGGCTCTCTCTTAAACTCAATTCCAGAGAGGAATCAAACAGGTTATTCTACTCTGTCCAAATTTCCGGTGTTGGAGTTGGACCAGAGACATACATGTCTACTTTGGGATTTTGTACTCTGTTCATTCTTGCAAAATGTTTTGAGTCCAATGCCTCTCCCGTAAGTTTAAAAAAAACCTGTACAGGCAAGATATCAACACAGAGTTGAGGAAGAATATGTGTAGTTTCGACTTCAAAGTACCACAGGAGTGGAGCTTTATTAAACCTACTTATCACTGCGATACTATTAGTGCAAAAGGTGTATGGTGCCCTAGTTGACAATAAGTTATGGGAAAGTTTTCTATTGTTGGGGAAAATAGGACCGAGTTGTGGGGACTTTCTGCTGCCTTTGGTCACCTTTATCATCATCATCTAAGTGGTCGCAACCGAGATCTTGTTCACAACGCCACGCCAGGTGTCTGTATTCCTCATTATGTACGGAGGGTCTTCAATTTCACATTGGGTGTCTCTCACAATCACATCAATAATAACTTTCGCTCCACTGATCCCCACCATTACGGAACAAGACTGTACATATGTCAGGGGCGGATCTAGCTTTCAGAAAACAGGGGGGGGGGGGAGAAAATTGAAGGTGTACATTGCTGGGGGATTCTCCTGCATTCTAAGGCAATTTGTGAATAAATTTAGCACTTTTAGCATTCCATTTATTATTTTTGACCCATTTCACTAGTATCGTAACTTCAGTCAGCTGCTGGAGGGGTGGAATTGCAACCCCCCCCCAACCCACCATCTAGATCTGCTACTGTAGGTGTTGTGTATGTGTTTTCACGAGTTGATCACCCGTGAAGCAGGCGACTCACTCGCGATGCAGGCGACTCACTCGCGATGCAGGCGACTCACTCGCGATGCAGGCGACTCACTCGCGATGCAGGCGACTCACTCGCGATGCAGGCTAGGCAAAGCCAACTCCCCCACATAGCTGGCAAGGCAAAGCCTCATTTCAACAATTTATAAAAACAACCCGAGTCAAAGTATCTTTTCTTTGATTTTAGGGACATTTTAAGATTCCTTGGGCCTCTCCAGCTCTAGTCAACTTCTTTCCAGATGACCATACAACTAAAACATAGATTAGCCTGTCCTTGGTTATATGGATTCATTAATAACCCAGGTCTGCCCAGACTCCTGGATAAAAACATGCATGAGTGTCCTCAGAGTGTCCTCAAGCTTCCCCCCAATCACCATCCTTGAGGGATAAATCAAGGGGCTGATTATTGTGTTTGGTTTAAGACCGATTCCAGCTGGTACTCCAGGCAACCCCTGAGTGATTGGTCTGCTCCATGGTTTGCCCTGTTTCCCCCCAGGGGGGCTGTCAAGAGGAAAATCTGGCACCTGTCATCCTGGGCTATAATGCTGTTTTGGGATATCTTAGGGGCTGGGATTTGGATTGTAGTACAGGTACTTCTGTGGCAATTTGGGATTTGTGAAATCGATCTGGGTTGTCAAAAATACAGACAAAACTAACAATCATTATTGCAATAATCAGTTATGTGTAATTTGATGACGGTTACTTCCAGCAGATGTTCAAGGTTTTATGGAAACTTTGTGGAATGTATGCCCAAAATTTCGGAAAACTCTTATTTAAAAAATAAAGTAACTTTGCCTGTCCTTTCTGTCACTATATTTACTGCTCCTCTTGCTTTTGTCTGTTTAAAAAAATATGTCATACAATTCTGACACTGTAAAGTCATGATGGTTTGAAAACAAAACAAATACTTGCTATCTGCCCAGGCGAGCTACTATCTCAGAAACAGCAACTCACCGCAGGCGCAGTGAGACATACACATTTGGATATTATTTTTTAAATTGACTGTGGCCTCTCAACGCTTCCGTAGATATTTGAAAGCATTTGGAAATTTATGTTTGAAGTTTTATTAAATTGTACTAAATTTTTGATTTGCTTCAATGGAGATACATTGTGGAAGTTTGGGAAGGGGTAGGGGTGGGGTAGGCTGTGGGGTGGGAGGGGTGGGGTGCTGTATGCAGTTGTGTAAAGGACTATAGCCGTGCCACCCTTAAAAAAACCACCTGTTTTCTGAAAACAAGTTATCTTTGGGCACTCGCTTCTCATCAAATATTCCTTAATTTCAACTGGCCTTGTGTATTAACTGCAAGCTTGACCAAGGTTGAAACAACTTTCTCATGAGGCCTGTCCAAAGTAGCATGGTCACTTTAATGTCTCATCTTGTTTCAACATTCTTCTGGAACCCTACAGATAAAGTTTGTGTTTGGAGGTCAAATTTAATTTGCTCATTTCATGGTTTATTAGCGAATATTGGCCGCCTGGTGTCCTCAGTCAACGAGTGGACAGTGGGGTACAGAAACTTTAACAATCAGTGTGTCCAAGCTATGTCAAAGTGATCAAACTTCTTTACTGTTTGAACTTTGAAGTGCAAGTAATAAATAGTCATCTTTCATGCAACACACTGTACCTAAAGAATGGTTTGAAGAACTTTTGTGTGTTATAAGGTCCCAAATCTGTCTTTGTACCTTTACAATGACAAAAAACAACAACAGAACCAAAAGGGAAACTGGCTTGGAGAACTTTTTGTTCGTAAAAATTTGAACCCTTCGTTTTTAAGCATACCTTGATTTGTCTGGGGTTTTTTGTGCACTTTTATTCTATTGATTTGTTATGTCCAAGTTATGTCAAAGTGATCAAACTTCTTACCGTTTGAAGTGCAAGTAATAAATAGTCATCTTTCATGCAACACACTGTAACTAAAGAATGGTTTGAGGAACTTTTGTGTGTTATAATATAAGGTCCCAAATCTGTCTTTGTACCTTTACAATGACAAAAAACAACAACAGAACCAAAAGGGAAACTGGCTTGGAGAACTTTTTGTTGGTGGGGATTTGAACCCTACGTTTTTAAATATACCTTGATTTGTCTGCTTTTCTGTGCACTTTTATTCTATTGATTTGTTATTTAAGGATAATGGAAGCAATTTGAAGACAAAACATGTTTTTGACGATTCAAGGAACAACAGTACGCCTACAATAAATATGAAGCGCGTTATTAGAGAACTAAACTGTCAAAATTTAATATATGTACTTTTTGAGAAAACTGTGAATGGTAATTCCTCATATTGGCATTATATTAAGCTCAATGATTTCAGAAGATTTATTTACAATCAAGTAGGATATTTCATATTTTGACACTTTCAGTTTTGCATGTTTGCAAATGGTGTATATTACCTTTAGAGCAATTTCAATTAATTGGGGCATTTTTTTTTTCAAATTAAATTTCAAATCACAATTCAAACTACATTTCATATTTGAATCAGAGATGAAACTGGCATATGGCCAAAAAATCGGAAAATACGTAGAACAAAAATACGTGTCCGAAATCTGGGCCGCGCTACAGTTACACACATGTACAGTATGCATGTACAGTACACTTCATGCCCAATTTCCAGACACCAACTCCAGCTTAATTATTTTCGATTCAAACAAAATTTTACGATGAAAAAAAAAATGGTCAGTGTTTTCATTGCATAAAACGCCTGAATTACGGTTAGAGTAAAGGAGTCATCAACAAAGAAGTTCACTTCTTACTTTAAAAGTCGAGGGAAAAATCCGAAAGACAAGGGCACCGTTCATGGTGCTTCAATCATGACAATGATTCAACCACACAACACCACTACTCCACGTACATGTACTTGCATTCGTACGTGGGGAAAAATCAGGCATTATCGTCTTTCTCTTCCAACAAATGCCAGTGAAATGTTAAATGCTCTCTTCGCTATTCTCGAGATAATCATCATGATTTTTAAAGCATTGCATTTTGTACTTGTAACTAAATCTGAAACCTCCGAAAATCGCACAACATAATGATTTTATCCACTGGATCGTTCACGAGGCCGAGGCCACCTGTTCCTGACCGGCGCAGCCATGTGCTACGTGCTGGGCGGACGGTGCATTACGTACGCTGGTACCATTGCATACATCTTTGTATATGCACGCACGTGCGACGACACAGTGATTTTTCCATGTCGCCTGTCAATGTTTAACCTTTTGTCCAGCCTGAAAAGGCTCCGATCAGTGTTTTGGCCTGTGTTTCTACCGTTGAAACACACCAATAACGACTGGTGAAAGAGATTAAAACTACGTTCGCGATGATTTTAAGGTGCCATTTCCATCGACTTTTCATCGACTTTTCTTCGAAATTATGATTGAAATAAAATGACATTTTGTAAAAAAATCGTTACAAAATCAAATTTTGTGGGACACATTGTAAAAAAATCGGAAATTTCGTTGGAAAATTCAAAAAGTCGGATTTCCGATTAAAATCGGAAAAGTTTCATCTCTGTTGAATTTCCCTTTCAATGCTGCTGTTCAGTGGGAACCCTGTGCTCTGAATCAACAAACTATTAGATGCAATTCTGAAGGTTTACAGAAGTGAATGTTGGACCCAGGAATGCTTTGATTGTGTCCTAGCCCAAGACGTTAGGTCAGATGTGACGGGCTAATTGGATTCAGCTTGACCCTGTGTGGGCGTGTTACCAGTTTATATACTACGGACCAAAAATGCACTGCCTACAAATCCTGGGCATGTTCTCACTGTTCACACAAACGAGGCCCCCTTCAATGGCGAAACCATTGTGCACGCTATTGTGCGAAGCTACTGCCCCGTGATGGATTATCTGAACTATAGCTAGCACAATGCTTTTGCCATTGAAGGGGGCCGTTGTGATAAAGCACATATAAATTAACTTCACTATGTGCACGAATCTGCTTTGCACAGGAATATTGTGCTTACTACAGGCATGGAGGTATAAGACAGAACTTTACCAACAGCTAAATACCAAAAACTAAATACTATTTTTTTTAATTTGCTTGAATAACTGGTATCTTCAGCTCCATTACATGTACATTCAATACAATAATCACGTTTCAAACATGATGCCAAGGCCCCAATGTGGATCAGGTTGTATAGACAGTGTAAAGATTTCCTAGAAATTATCAACAAGAATTTTCCGCCCACGTCTTAACCTCAAACTTTTTTTAGATTTTGTTTTTGTGTTTTTATTGGTGGTTTTGGGTTTTTCCCCGGTTTTTTGGGTTTTTTTTTTTTTTTTTGAATGTCAAGTTTTTTAGTTTTCATAGAATACTGGTGCACCATGTGCTCTAGATCAATAAACAAAACTGTAAGAATCATCCACATACCGTGTGCAAAGTACTTTTTTAATTTGAAATTAATTTAATGCCAAAAACCCACCGGTTGCGGTTTAAAGTATCCACAGCTGGAGTGGAAGTCACAAATCAATTCTGGGTCAATAACTGCTTTGAACTGACAATCACCTGACAGGAAACCATAAAATGGAGGTGGGGGGGGGGGGGGAGAGTGGGTTGGTATGGTAGGCTGTCTGAAGGTCAAGGGTCACAGGAAAGAGTCGGTATGCAAATTATAGAGGCCGCTTTGTTGCTTAGCAATAGAGTAAGTTGACAGTAGGTTTGTGCAGTATTGGATTTCTGGAATCCACGTATACTATACTATTATATAATTTCCGCGCTTTTCGGCATTACCGGGTTCTTTTCTAGGCAGACTTTTATGCCATCAAAATAAAATAATGCACATTATGACAGGGAAACTGCAAACAGGTCCACATGAGCGAAACTTGAAAGGCTCCACTGCATTACTAGTAAGCAAAAAATATGGATTGAGAATTCCAGCTCCACAATTTGTATCTTATCTAGATACCACGACAACAAAGACGTTAAATAATCATCCTTATAGTGCAGATCTGGCCAAGTTGTTTCTGTCACTTTTGTTCAAAGGACTTTTGCACACATTTGGCCACATTTTAGATGGAATATCGTGGTACTGAAATTCCACACCGAGTTTGTTGGTATTTCGGTATATTTTAAGCAACGTCATTATTTTGGAATTGTTCGGTATCAAAAAAAATATTGTCACTATGCGGTTAACTAAATATCGTCCAAGCCTAGCTTTCAAAGCTTAGGCCACTTTCGAATTACTTGTCTTAGGCAGGAAGTTACACATTGGCTTTTTAGTGGCTGAATTAACTTCAAATACATGTGAAGGTTACTGTCAGCAAAAGCCAAGTACACACTACTTTGGATGGAACTTTAAGAAAAATTGTAGGCTGGTTCCAGTCTCTCAATTATATTCCAGACTTCAATAGGAGGGATTGGGAACCAGTTTTTACCATGCTGGATAATCACGTTAAAAACCACTGACAGCTTTGTTTTGCATTTTTAGTACTTGTCACACCCCTTGGTACATGTAAATATGGAATCTTCCATGAGCCAGAACTCACCTTGTTGAGCAGTATGTGCTAGATCCTCCATTTGATCAGCGGGGGTGTTACCAACTGACAGCTCTATGTATGATGGCATGCTGCTGGCTGTGCTGCCCTTTTCATTTGGTGTCAGTGAGGGCAGTGTTACCTCCTTCTTGGCTTTTGAAGTGAGCTTGGCGGGTGCCAGTGTGTGCGTATCATCACTAGGGGGCGCTGTGATTGGATCGTCTTGGGACGAGTTGTTGGATATCGGCGTGTCGTCGAAAAGTTCCAGACAATCAGTCTGGTTGTACGATGCCGCTACATCAGACGACGGATCATTGGACGTCTGGATTAAAGACGGATTTGTTGACTTTGCCTCTGCCTTTGTTGTAGTTTTGTGCTCAGTTGATGATGCAATTTCTTTTGTCTTATCAAGAGAGGATAACTTGATGAATGATGGAATGATACCACGAACCTCTCCACTTGTTGTCACCGAGGGCGCTCTTTCCTTAGCTTCACCCTCCTCGGCAGTCACACTGATAAATGACGGCATGTTATCGGCCGCCTCTCCTGTTGCAGACTCTGAGGGCGCTATTTTTTCTGGTGGACCGTCCGCTGATAGCTTGATGAACGATGGAGTGTTGATATTTTCATCTGCTCTTTTGGCCTTCTTAGGTTGGGTTCTGTTTATAAGGCACAAAAATAAAAAAATTCAAGTCGTTCATTATGAAACTGAGTCAGATTTTTAACCAAATTCATTGTCAATTCTACAGGTTAAGAGGAACAAAATGTTTATGGAGGCAATTTATTTTTTTGGGGGGGGGGGGTTGGGAGTAAACATACGAGAATAACAACTTCATTAGTGGAACCAATGCTATAGAAGTACCAGGTAAAAACATGCTCTTTATTTCAGGAAAAAAAAAATCGTTCAAATAAGTATATTTTGAGATTTTGATTTCAATGCGTTGGTTTTTTTCTTCATTGACAGGTAGAACTTTTTAGCAGTCCCACCCGAGTAATTTGTAATTTTTTTCTCACAATCACTAGGGACAACACTGAGTATACAGTGTTTATAAAATACGTCGGTGAAAGGAAAAACCCAATATTAAATTTACATCACTCCAACGCAATTTCTATCTTATGAAAACTTTCAGTTTGTATAACACCCCCGCCCCCCGGAAAATTAGCGTTAATATCAGGGATGCTTAATACAGGCAAACACAGTCTGCCAATGCAAAATCAACCTATAATTTGTTTGTGCTTGGTATTCCACAAGGGCATTTATATTTAGTCCAGCTGTCCACATTTATATGGATTGAAAGAGAATTTATTGTAGTGAGTTGACCTAGAAAACTGCAAGGTCAATGTCACTGTCTGGTTTGACCACAGGGATAAGCTTTTTCACACACTTCAACGACCTTTCTGAGGGTCACGAACCTTCAACTGGGCTCAGAAATAAGGTCATTTTTCAATAACAACCAGCTCCATCTTGACTGTCTGCTCCAGGTTAATTTAGGAGCTGGTACTGCTCGAACTAAATGAAAATACCCTGAATGTTGGGCCTCAAACTATCGTGATTTTGATTTTTAACGGCAGATAATGGACCAAATACCAGGAGGTGAGACTTGTCACAATTTTCCTGATTTTAGGGTTTTTTTCTGGATTTGTTGTGAATTCAAGAGTTTTTGTAAAGACTTTTTGAGCTTTTACTGCAAAGTTGTTTTTTATCCGTAACAATTTATGCAGAGCACAAGAAACTTACCAGGTTAGTTTTTGAACATTCTTCTTTGGATTTTGAGTGAAAAATACAAAATGCATGAAAAGGAAATTATCCTATATGCCTGTAAATTTAATATCTCTGCGATGCAGCACACCATCTATTAGAGGCGTTAAACTAACCTTGTATCTGTTTCGTACGTGTGCCCCGATCGCTTTGCAGCTTTCTTCGTCTTGGTTTTGCTCCTGCTGCTCTCACCAGCATCTTTCTTGTGTAACAAGGGACAGGCCTTCCCTTTGTCGCATTTCCCTGTCTTGCTGAACTGTGCACATCTTAGGATGTGCTGCTTCTTGCACTGCAAGAGACATTTGGATAAAAAAAGGCAAAAAACTTTAACTTGAACCAGTTTGAACTTTTCCGTTCCTTTTTTAAGTTCTGGCCGGAGCTTCTAAATGTCACTTGGTCAGTGTTGTTGGACTTGAGTCCAGGACTCGGACTCGAATTGGACTTGAGTCACATTTTTCGTGACTCGGACTCGACTTGAGTCACATTAGAGAATGACTCGGACTCGGACTCGAGCTTGGTGACTCGTGACTCGAGTCAAGTATTTTCATCAAAAGAAAAAAAAAAACCTTACGTATTTGTGCAACGAACGTAGCATTCTTTTTTAATTTTAATGTCCAAAAAAAAAAAAAACCACTAAAAACTTAACAAAATTTGTTTGTAACAATTCGGAAAGATGTTTATGAAAAGTTTGCTGAAAGTCCGCATCACATGTCCACACCATTCAGTTTCTTACCAGGAGCGACATGATCTGCACTATCGACCCCTACCTTATCTCCCAGTGGGCAGTGCCCTTTGATGAAAGCAGCACATGGCGTTGCTTTGCTGCTGACCTTGACGTGGGAGTATGGGCAGTCGTCCCTGTTGCAAACGCCGCGGAGAAAGTAGGAACACACTGGCATCTGGAGTGTTGATAAAGATCGAGAAATCAGCACTGCGATCAGTGGATGACATTTTCGCTTTAAAGCTATAGTCCATCATTTGCAGCCATCCGAAAAAGTAACGGGCGTATTATTGTTGAAAGACTTACTTGGTTGAAAGATAGTAAGTGGACTAAACTCCCTGTGAAATTAATCTTTCTGGCAAGCTATCATGATGAAGTTATCAACGAAAGAAGGCCTTTCCAACGGTGCGTCTTAAGACGCACCGTAGGAAAATTTAATTTAGTAGTTCGTTTTGTTATTCGGCGAAGCGCGCACAAGCATTGGCACGACGCACAGGCGCGCGCGGTTGCTATAATTCGTCGGATCAGTGCGCGACATCGCGTATAGCTGCAATTCAAAACAATTCAAAACATGATTCAGCAACTTTTGATTTGAAATTGAGATCCTAGAATGCTGTTTTTCTCGGAATATACAGCTGAAGCTGAGCTGAAACTTCATCAGGTTAGTTTTTCAGTATCCTTCATTAGATTTTGAGCACTTTTGTTGCTTCAAACGAACAAAATGCACAAATTACAAATGATGGACTATATCTTTAAACTCCTTGCATGGACAATAGGGGTGTGCATTTACAGGTAGTGCTGGAACTGGATACCCCACTGAAAAATACACGGGTACCCGGGTACCCGTTAAAGAAAACCAACCCAAAAATCAAATCTTGGAAGTTGCTGTTGAGTTTGTTCATAAAGGTCCGCATGGTAATACTACCACATCAGTGCGTCAAAACAGCAAGAGATAAGTGTGTACAGTGAACATAGCTTTACGGTGTAAACTGCAGCTTTCGCGAGCGTCATAAACGTAAAATATGTTTTGTTTTCCCATGTTGCCTGGTTTTTCATTTTAAAAATTACCCACAAATGACATTTCTGTTGCATTGTCTGAGAAGTTACTACGTAATATGTAAAGTTAATTACGGGTACCCAATCCCATCCGGAACTGTTTCCTGACATCAGCGGTCGAGTACTCGGGTACACGGTTCCGATGCACAGCCCTAATGGACAATAGATGGTGCATACATGTAGTGACCACCGGTGAATGCAGAGCACACTGCATGCACGCATATGGTACAGTGCGGGGTGGGGGGGGGAAACATATGGTACAAAGTACACCCGATGAATTCTCATCGGAATGTGAATAACCTTGTAGCGTCTTTGCATAATTGTCAGGCACATACGTTGGGTACCTGTGAGGGTAGAGGACCGAATGTGCGCTGATATCGGCTGCCGCGTGGTCTCGAGGCCTGATGGGGAATAATTGGGGAATAATTGTAAAGCGCTTTGAGATTGTTAATACGATGGAAAGCGCTATGTAAGCATTACAATTTATTTTTATTTATAAATTTGTGCTCAAAATTCCATCTTTACTTTCCCTTTGTTACCGTTGTGGGGGTACTTGTGCAAGTAGTCTATAATGATTCTGTGCCCTGTGACTGTAAAATGTTGTGCCTACCGGAGCACAAGCACAGCATACTGTGCCAATCAGAGAGTAAAATATCAGAAGGGGGGATTATGAAAACACTGACCTTATCTTTGGAAACTTTGTGAGAGAAGAGACAGGAGCCATCAGTCTTGGGGCAGGTGCCACGTAGAAATCTTTAAAAAAACATTTAAAAGAATTTGAATTTACATCCAAAGAAAGTGACTGCAGTTACGGGTTCTGTTCCTACACGAGAACAAAATTCTGAGTTTTAGGTTAAAGAACTCACTCAACTATTTAGCGATATTTAAATCCAACAGAAGCGCCGTGGATAGAGGATAGGATTTTGATTTTTGTTGAGGGAAATTTTGGGGTAAATGATGTTGAAGACGACAAAACGCAACACAAAAATATTAAGATGGTGATCACAAAAACTGCGTTAATCCGCATGGCAGCAACTGAAAAATGCGTAAGAAAATCACATTGTCCAGTAGATGTTTCTGTTCAATTAACAAAAATAGGGTCATTAGAATTCAAAGAAAACTGCTTAACCCTAACCACCCCTAACCCTTCAAAATCCAACTGCATGTTTTCTTTGATTCTGTTGGAGAGAGGACTGCACTGATTACGCCTTACATGGGTCAGGCATGCCACTATAATCAGAGCCCAACAGTTTGGGTGTTGAATACCGTGTGGTGTTGGATATTGCAAGAGTGAGAAAGCATTCTAAGGGGATGCAGAAGTCATTTTGGAATGATAAAAACACTGTGAAAACTACAAAACGAAAGAGGGGCTTGTAGCAACTACCCAATCGCCCCAAAGTGGACACAGTTCGCTGGAGACAATGACCAGAGTCAAATTTCAGAAACTTTCACTTGGAAAATTTATGTGCTAAGCGAGAATCAGATGAGTACCAGTTAGAAGGCATTATACATTTCATGACATTTTAGCTGGTAACCAATTTTTGCTAAGCACATCATTTCTGTGCTCAGCAGCCCAAGACATTTGCCCCAGGGGTGGGGCGTGATAGGGTTTGGCAGAGGGTGGCTAGGGTGGGGTTAAATCTATATATTTTTTCTTACCTCGTGCAGACAGCTACTTTATCAGGATCGTGTATATACGGGCAAGCGTTGCCCCTTTTGCAACGACCGTACAGATTGTAAAACATACAGTACTGCTTCATCTGGGATTGTTTCTTGGAGCGTTCTTTGGCGGCCAAGCTAACGTGAATGCTCCGTCGTAAGACGTGGCTAGCAAAAGGAAGATAGATTGTATGTAGGTGATAGTGCATTGTCGTTGGGTTCTCTTAGCCTTATAAAATATTACTGCAGATTTGTACGTAAACATCGTTGTAGATGACGGCAGAGATGGTTATTGTGGTTGATTTAAGCTGCTTTGCACCGAAATGGCAGCTTTGAACTGAGATTGTCTTGAGAATGTTTTATTGGCCCAATGAGCAGGGTAATAATGATGTAGCGCCTTGAGCACCAATACTGGTGGAAACGTGCACTTTATAAATACACATTATTATTAATATTTTTATTGTTAAGTCTCTCAACTACAGCACTGCAGGGACATGTGAGTATTCAAGTCATAGTGTTTGTAGTTCACTAACCTCGCTACTTTTCTTGTGACAGACGGAGTTGATGAAGACTTGAACGCAGGCTTGTGGCTGTGCCTTGATGAATGGCTAGGTGTCTCAGTCCGCTTCCTAGAGGTGCTAGGGGAGCTTGTAGGGTGACCCGAGGGTGCAGTATGGGTGCTCGGTTGGATGCGGTGTAAGACCTTGCTATATCGGTTGATGCGAAGCTTAAACGGACTGCCTCCCACATTAACCAGGGACCCTGACGGCCTTCTGTCACCTTAAAAAGTGGAAAAAATCCGATGGAAAAAATCAACTAGTGAAGTAAAATGAATGTTAGTACCTGCTCCAATTTTTGGTTTAAAAAACCAGCAGTATGAAGGTACTTGCAAAATTGTAAAATTATACATTTTGTATTTTTATCTTAATTTGTATTTTTGGAGTTTTGCCAAACTCTTTAAAGATGAGCAAAAAATAATTTTAATTTACATCCCCCCGACACAAAAAATGTTTGCATAAATTGTGGTTTATGGATGATTCATAATTAAAAAGGTATCCTCTCTGAGTGATCTCCGTTTGTTATTTCTCAGGTTTGCAGCATTGGTAATGTTGCTAGCATCGTGACTTTGGGCATGGTCCCTGGCTACATGGCATATAAGGGTTGGTGGCTTCTGACTAGCGCCCCTTGAACAAAGACATTGACAAAATGGGGAACCGCCAACATAGGGCTGGAAAGCTCTGACAGTTGGAAGAGCATCGGTACGGTGTCCCGAAGGTCGCAGGTTCAAACCCCGCTCCGGTCGAATTCTCTGTTCAATTTCATAATTAATATCTAAGCAACTTGTCAGTTTCCCTTTGTGGTTTATAGACAACATATAATTTGTTTCAATTTTGTGTGTATGTGTGTTTGCTGGGGGGGGGGGGGGTTAAGGGACTATATATGACAGATAGCACCAACCTTCAGCTCTTCTTATGAGTTTTGTCTTCGTGTTCTTGACCGTGACAAGCCGCTCGACGTCTGACGTCTTTCTTGATGACCTTGACAATGACGTCATGGATGACAAAGGACGGACGACGCTCCGATGACCTTTGACCAAGTTGTATCTGGACCTCAGAAGGACCGGTGTGTTACTGAGAACTGTTTGCCTTCTCCTATATCGTGAAACACAAAGCAGAGTCTGTCAACTTGTAATTTTAAGGTCCTAAGAACTTTATCCAGTTGAAATTTATTCATATTTTTTTTTGGCGAAGAAGTTCTGAAGACACGTGTTTGATGAGTTATTATAAGATAATATTCTTGCATATTTCAAAGTTTCAATTCTTATGTATAAATTGTTTTCTTTTAATACATGTATGTGAATTTGGACAAACTATTGGGAGAACTAGTTGCCACTAAGGCAGTTAAGTTATTGAGTGAAGTTTTCATTCAAGAAAGATCCATTCCCCGTTTTTTTTAATTTTTGACCCAATGATGACTTCTTCTAATCTATAGATCACTCATTGATCTGATACACGGTACCCTGTGGAGACATGTGTATAATAGGGAACAAAAGATTGTATACGTCTCCACAGGGCAATTTCTATAGGTGAATACATCTCCACAAGGTTATCACGAAATATGGATTTTACTCAAAAGCTAGGAATTTCCAAGGTGTGTTGATCCGTCGCAAATTGAAGTATTTTATGTAAGGGATATTAAGTCCGAATTTTAGCCCAGGAAATTAATTCTGGTTAAAATAGGAGCAGATTTTCAAACTCAAAATTTTAGTACAGGAGAACAAAGAAATGACTCCACAAGGATACAAATTTCAGTATGTGTGTTCTTACCTTTCCATGAAGGTCAGAGGCTTCCTTTGGACACTTGATGCATGAGATTTTTTCAAGGCGTATCGAGAGCTGTAGCTTCCTTTTGTTGCCATCTTACAAGATGAAGAAGACCCTGCAATCACAGACATAAATATGGACTCAGGTGAAAAAACAAGTGCTTCAACTTAACCTTTTAAGGGCCTGGCCAGAACAAAAAAAATAACCAAAAGAAATGAAAGAAGAATCCAAATCAGCTAGGATGATCCTTAAAAAAGAATCAGTCATCTGGGTTTTATTAGACTTGACGGACTGCGGAAGTACAGCCAGCCAGTATTACTTTACATGACACTTTCAAAGTTTACGAATGAAGAATGTCTTTCTTAGTTTCTGGCAATCGGAAGATATTCAACAATTCTCATCTTTTGCATAAAAAAAACAACTTTTGAAAACAGTGGTTATATTTCTTTTGAGAAAGTGTATTATATAGGAAACTTTATGGGATATTCATGATAATGGGAGGTTTATATACTCCTTTTAGATATTCCTTTGAGAAAACGAGATATTTCAGATTTTAGGATTTTATATACTCTACCTTTTCTATCATCACTGCTCCTGTGTGGCAGTCTCGATCCTCTCGCTGACCTTTGACCAAATGACCCTTGACCTCTATATAAGCCCCGCCCTCTGCTCCTCCCAGATCCATAACCTCTGAATATTGATGACCGATATCCTCTCCCTCCGCGACCTCTAAAGGTCACCGCCCCACGACCTCTAAAGGTTACAGCCCCACGACCTCTAAAGGCAGAAAAAGAAAATCCTCGGCTAAATGGAGATCCGCGACCTCTTGAACTCGCAAACCCACGTCCTCTGCTTCTAATGTAAGCCGGGCCTGTCCTACTTGGGAATCCGTAACTTCTAGCGGAGACATGGTCGTGGTGACGAGTTGATTTATGCAGGCTGCTGGAAGGGGTGGCTATTGGCTTTGCGTTGGTGGTTGCATGAGAAGTGTGATGGGTGTGAGACGACTTGCTTGCAGACGGAGTACTGGTGTAAGTGTAACGGGAAGAATGGCTGGTGGATGGTTTGTGGTGATGCGAATCGTGTCCATGCTTCCTGGAGGAAGATGACGGCGTCTTGGATGACTCAAACCGATACTTAGACCGATGACTGTCCAGGCTGTGATGTCTGGACGTGGAGGAACGTCTTTCAGTTTCAGAGCTACGACTTCTAGACGTCGGGGTTGTGTTGGATCTGAACAGCGATCTGCTACCGTCGTCAGATTGCGAGGCGTGATGAGAAGGTCTCCAGGAGTATTTACTGGATGATCCCTTCGGTGAGTGGCTGGAAATCGGCGACGTTGGTTTGACAAGGTGGGTTGATCTGTGAGAATGCTCCTTAAGGCTACGGCGACTCCAGCTCTTACTCAGAGGATCTGAAGCTGACAAGCTGCGAGTTGTTGAGGATCTTGGAGTTTCTGAAAGGCTTGAATGTAAACCGGGCTTCTGGCTCATTTGCCATGTTGATGAGCTACGGCTACTCACCGGTAGGCCTAGTAAGTATTTGTCTTCGATCTCTTTCAGCCGGCTAGAGCTACTCAAATAGCCTTGCGACGTAGATCTCTGAATCGGGAATGATTCCACAGGTACACTCAGAAAAGAGGATTGTCTGTAGGATTTTCTCTGAGTAAATGCATCAAGGCTGGGTGATTTAGCAGCTGAATATTGTCCAGATTCACGACTAGTGTATCCAGACTGGTTAGGCGTGGAGCTCCTGTGCTCACTTGAAGCTTTGGTTGAATATGTGGATGATCTCGAAACCAAGGCCGACGATTTACCAGGGTCAGCTGACCATCGATCGTAACTCCAACACGGATTTGCTCCACTGGTTTTAGTCAGTACCTTTGAGTCCCTACTTGTCGTGGAGATGTGCTTGGTTCTGTCATATCCTTTCCCCAGATATTTAGCCTCGAGCTCACTGGTGTACCTTGGGGTAGGCTCGGAAGCAGCTTTGATGCTATACTTGGATGAGGTCGACAAAGGCTTCGGACTGTTCAGGGAATCTGTGGGAAAATATGATCATAATTTAACTTAGTTTGGAAAAACATGGATTTGGGCATGTTGGTAGGGACCGCACACAAACTGGCAGATCTCCACAGCTGTCACGCAACAGTGAACAACGTTTTTTCTAAGTTGCCGCACGATTGCTCTACGGGTTTATGCTGATCAGAAGGTATAACGGGGTGATTCCACGTGTTATTGAACGTCATCATAATTTTCATACGTCAACAACAATGAGTCCAAAATACTGGGAATGTTTTTATTTTTTATTTATAAGCCGAATTAGTCCATCTCAACGTATCATGTGATGGCTCCTCCTTTTCGTGATTGGTGTATGACGTCCGATAGGACTGCTTAGGCTGTTTATTAAACCTAGTATGTAAACAAGGCATATACATACACAGTTTTTCCATCTAGAACTTAGAAGTGAGCAAAAAATCAATCATTACAGAAGAATTTTTTAAGGTCATATTTCAGTAATCCCTTATCTGATTTCAAAAATTTAAACAGCTATGAGCCTAGATAAACATGTATGTTTTCTCTCACTTGACACAAAAAGTGGCTTTTAAAACCCTTTTTAAAAATTGGGTGCAGTCCCTAATAATGTTGGGACTGAGATTTATCATTTCCTAGTGAGAAACATTTTAAAATTTAATTCTGTCAGTGTCAGAAAATCCTTTCAACATGTTCACAACTCCCCACCATGTCCATAGATTTTGCACATGACCACCAAAGCATCTTTAGGATACAACATTCTTTCAATGATTAACACAACCCTATTTCTCATTATATTGTTACTGGATGCGGGTTTTCCCCTTTGAAGTTTGAGGCGTCCGAAAACTGGGCAATATTATCGTCAGACGTTCAAAGATTCTCCGTCCCAGCTTTAACAATCGAAACAAATGCTGACTACGATGCATACATCGGACTAGTGTATTACTGAAGCAAAATAGATAATGCAATATCTTACCTGTCAGTTTCTGGATTTCTTGCTGTAATTTGGACAGTCGCGATAGAGTTGATTGCCTGTCGTAGTTCGCCATGGTTAGTAAGCGTTCGCGTATTATGATGTGTACGCGATCGAATTTTGTGATCATCACATTGTTGTGCCCATTCTTGAAAATCACGCATTCTCGAAAATGGGCATGCACATTCTCGAGAATGGGCGCGCATTCTAAGAATGAGCGCCCATTCTTAAGAACGAGCACGCGTTCTTAAGAATGAGCGCTCATTCTTAAGATTGGTTGGGAATATCACGTGCACAATTTATGAATTTTGCCCAATCTTAACAAACATTGCACGACATAATTATGTTAAATGAATTGTATAGCGGTTAAAAGGGAAACAATTCATATAAAGAGGAAAGAAAATGTGCTATGCTTCTGTACTCGTATAATTACGATAATTTGAATCAAATTAAACCTGTTATTATTGCTTTTTTCTGCCCACTATGGGAAGTTTTGTAATAACGGAGGACTGGGAACTAGTCTGGGAAGTGCTTTGTTTAGGCTAGACAAGTTACAAGTCCCTGCATGTATCATATGCGTGCCACAAAAAAAAAAACGATGTCCAGAAGCTGCCAAAATTGCTCTTTTGACTAGATAGAATCCAGCTCTGCGACGTTATGGTGGGATGTGAACAATAAATTGGTGGCAATTTAATGGGAAATAGCATTAGCACTATGGGATGTCGCAGTATTCATTCTCATTCTTCACATTCTTCATTCTTACGTCCCCCCCCCCTTGCTTTTATTATCCCAAAAATCAGAATTCTTTGCACTAGTATTATTATGTCTCTTATATTTTCCCGGTCCCCCCCCCCCATATTAATACGCCTTTACTTATCATATCCACTCTACTTTTCAGAGCCTTGCGTTGCAACAGTATAATTATTGAGAATCAGTGAACGAGGATTCAGCTAGACTTGCCAAGCGCAGCCGGTGCTCGGCATCGACAAGACCGTTATCTTGTCGCGCATTCTCGAGAATGTGCGCTCAATCTGGAAGAGTTATTTTTTGCCAAGATTGAGCAAGGATCCACTTGCACATTCTCAAGAATGTGCATGCCCATTCTCGAGAATGCGTGATTTTCAAGAATGGGCACAACAACATCATCACCGTGTTTTGTGAATAGCGCCATCAATCGTTTGTAATCGTACAACCAAAAAACACGTGCTTGCAAACATAATTTGAATCGAAATATGACGTTCCATGCGAATCTTGGTAAGATTTGTTCGTTTAGTTTAATTTGCAAAACCAATTTTGTTTACAATTGTCAGCAGCCACTTATCTTCTGTTTTATGTCTGAAAACAAGTCCATTATTTGTGAATTCATGCGTTAAATTTGGAGGGATACGGGAGAGAGAAAAATAATTTCTAATTCAAGAACTTTGCACCCGTGTGTGTCTTCAGACTGGGACCTTGAGTGCTAAAAAAAACAGGCGAAACGAAATCAGGCCAACTTCCCTATTCGGCTCACGAAATTCCCAGAAATGTTCATGAGGCAAAGACAAGGTCCTCAGTATTTCACCAGCTAAGTTTGAAGTCTCAATTCAAATTTTAAAGAAGACTTTTCTTCACTTTTTTGCAACTGAGAGGGAATTAAGTCAAATGATTTCAAAATGTCAAACCATGCATTGGCCAGCTGTTTGAAAAGACTGGCCTCTTCATTCAATGTCACTGGTCTGGTGGCGGACTATGGAGAAATGTGAAGAAATAGAGACAGACTACCAGACATGCCAGATGTTTCTTTTCGCAATTGATGCAGTACTGAAGGGTTGTTGGACTGGTTGTTTCAGGTGCTAGCCCCTTAAAGGTGGCCAATTTACTGGACTACCTCCATAAATAAAGGCCATGCACACTTGGAACATGTACCCGAAATGTAGAACTTTGTCAAATTTGGATTTTCACATGTAGTCTTTGTTTGTAGTTTATTTACGCTTAAGAAGCACACTCGCCCTCTTTAAAGCGATAGAAAGTAGGCCTAGTCCCCTTTTTTTCAGATATCTTTATGTCGTGTAATTTCCAGGTTCATTTGCACACGTTAGCCTATCTAAATTCCAACACAAAATTACACGAAAAGTAGATGTCTGAAAAAGGGGGGACTACTTTTCTATCGCTTTCAAAGAGGGTGAGTGTGCTTCTAGAAGTACAAACTACAAACAAAGTCTAAATGTGAAAACCAAAATTTGACAAAGTTCTACTTTTTCGGGTACATGTTCCAAGTGTGGCCATTATTTACGGAGGTAGTCCAGTAAATTGGCCACATTTGTAGGGCTATTCAGGTACCAGTCTATTTTCTTGTATTGCATGTTTTCCATACCTTAAATTTTGGGACTCTCGTACACAGTATTGAGAGTCCCCAAATTGGAAAGATTTCCATATAACATGTTCACTAATTTTCCTCTGTATTGACTAACAAGCCCCCAGATAGCAATTTCATGTCATCAAAGTCAATTTGAGCAGTGAGAAAATACAAGCATTTTCTTAGAAAACACTTAGAATTTTTCAGTCCACTCTCATAGGGTTTGTACACAGGGTGTTGAGTGAACTTCTTATATGGAAATCTTTCCCCCAAATTTTCAGACTAGTGTGCCTTTCTTACTTTCTCAGCACTATCATTTTTGGAGTCGACGTACTAACGCTACGGGTTTCAAAAAAGGCAATGATAGTCGATTTACAGCAATCCAGAATCTCATACAAAAATCTCGCCAAAAAGCAGCCATGACTGGTCCACGTCTCTTTAAAATTGAATAACAATGGACCTCGAACCGAAAATCTTTTTAGATATGGGAGTTTTTACTCACCGATATCAGGTTTCCGACACGGCGCAACGTGCACGAATAAATAGCATACCCTACAGTAGTTGATGCAGGAGAGTCGGTTACTGACATCAACTATATGCTGTTTATTACTCGTGCACGCCGCATCGCATTTAGTGTCCATGAATTAATGTTACAAGAGTGAAACTTTGCTATTCCTATGGTATTTTTTTTGGTTTCACCAAAAAAAGTACAGGTTTTCAAATGTCTATTTCTCTAGCAATGCAAAAGCTATTCACATTGGAATGTTCACTAGCAACTTTAACCGGTGTAATGACAAAATTACACACAAAAATGAACTCCCCTGCCCCCTCCCACCCCTGCCGCCCCCTGCCACCCCTCCGCCCCCTCCCCCGTGGTGACAGGTTACACATATCTTTACAAAATTAATTTTCCTGCAATCTTGTACCTTACTTTTGGTGCCAAAGCTGATTTTCATTTTTAAAATGCATGTAAACTGAAGTGCAGCTCATGGATGCTGGCCTGCTTGGCCTGGTTGGCCTGTGACAGAAACTTAATTAAGGACCACGTACCCCTTAAGGCCAGCCATTAAGCACGCTTCCCATAATGCTTTGATAGTTTCTTGGGGCATACATGTATAATTTTCCCTTGCATGGATATCTTTAAAGGGAATGTACATCATTGGCTTTTGCTGTAATTTTCAGAAATGGAGTATTTGAGGGGTTAGTATAATATATCAAATATTGTTACACTGACATGCTTGAAGGTTTATGTTCGAAAATGCTGGAAAAACCAAGAAAAACAAAATTGTTCAAGTAGTCTGGTTCCCTGACTCCAGTAAAGATGAAATGGATCAATTTATAGTTGCCAGAAAATTGTAAGGTAAGGGAACCAGTCTAGCTGGCCTGCACCCATTCATGAACATGTAACCAATACAAAACAAAATTTGGACTGAAAAAGGGTAAATTTGGAGCAGTAGTTGAAATATAGTTAGGTTTTTCCAACGGTGGTCGGCCGACCACCGTTGGAAATGTATACAAAAATACCATTTTCTTGGAAATGACTTCACACCAGGTGCCATAATTTTACAGGATGCTTTAGACTGTCATTTACCAACATCCTAGTAAGGTATTTCTTAAAAACTTGGTAGTTTTATTTTTCGATGTTTGCAAATGTTGTATATTCCCTTTAACACGGTATAACACCAGCCATGGTTTTAACTCGTTTCCAATTTATAGCCATTTGTGACAAAACCTGCATAACAGCATCGACTGAATTTTATTGGAAGCATTCGTTCCCATCCATTTTCCCTTTTTGTTTGATTGTCATTCAATAAATCAAATTATTTTATTTTTTTAGTTGTAGAAAATATCCTGGCTTTTTCCATCATTTTTGTCACGGCATTAAGACAAGAAAGACTTAAGTCAAAACATAAAAATCTCCGTCATGTAAATTCTGAATAAACTATTGTCTGGGCCAGACAATGACTTATTAAATTTTAAATCAAAAATCTGTAGATTGGTCTAATGCAGTGGCAAGTTGCTGTAATATTCAATGCTGCATTATTTTAAAACATGTTAAAAAGATTGCAGTTGTTTAATTGATCTCAAAATAACACTGAACCATTTCAAAACACTTTTTGTAATCAGTGGACTGCATATGCAATATAAATTTCCGAACAGTTATCGTTTGGATTAAGAATTCTCTTTAGTTGAGAGTGCAGACGTGTACATGTTTCAACTATGACTGAAAAAGAAGAACGAAATCTTCTCCACCTCATTACCTCTTCACCCTAGTGCAAGATGCTTAACGGAGACTCGTATGCACTCATACGCAGTCACTGCATGTGAGATGATCGAAAGATCAATAACCTCTCCCTCTGCTCATTTTGGTTGCCATGGTAATGCGGGATTTGTTCACCTTCATTTTGCAGTATTGACCCACTGTTCTCGGGTTTTCAAAACCGTTCTTTTTCCTTCTTCGCCTCATGTTTCATGTTGTTTCTGTTTTGAATTGGGTAGTTTAGATGTTCATTGAATATTTAATTTTACAACATGAATTTTCTCAAATACTTTTTCTTGTAAAAAAAAAAAAAAAAAAACAAGAAAAAGAAATCGGTAGATACTTTTTAGAAAATATATCATTTAATATCTTTCTTTGTGTTAATGTAAGAGTACTAGATTAGTTATTTTAGTAATGGAAACGGTATGAAAAAGCTATTTCATTTGTACAAACATTTGGAAATATCCCAATAAATTATTTTAATAAAGGACAAATCATTGAATAATGCCGAAAGCATCCTTTTTTTCCGTTTTCTTTAGACATGCTTAGCTGTTTTTGTTTCTGAACTGTGAATATAGACATGGAGTTTGAAATCAGGGATATTGGCAGAAATAAGGCTTCTAATTTTTTTTCTTGGATATAGAGTCTGACAAGAAATTGGTCAGCGACAGTGAAACCTTACGCAGTGTCGATGACGTTTGTAGGAAACGATCAGCACCATATGAGGCTGCATTCAGGCATCGTGTGACAATCACTGACACTGCACGCGCATTCTCCGTCAATAGTTTGGGCTCGGAGAAATGGTGCATTATGATGGCATTGTCTTCACTTGTGCGTTTACTTCCTCATCAGTGACTGCAGGATGCGGTGAGGCGGACACGTGCCAGGAGGTGTGTCCAGCAGAGGCCAGTGTCTTGGTGATGCTGTGCGGAGACGCAGTGTCTTATGACGAGCATGAATTATGTGACGGGCTTGTGTTGATGATGTGTCGGGGTGAATTGTAAGCTGTACTATTGAATGCAGAAAGGTGCTTGCTGTGTCAAGTTGTCCGGATGAGTCTTATGATGGTGAGTTGATTGATGTTCTTTTGTGAAAAGTACCTTGTTGCCTTTTTATGTCTGTTGCCATTTTGTAATGTAATAATGTAAGTGTTTGAGTTGGCCAGTAATTTGTTTGTATCATTCTTGCTTTAGAGTAAAATGAAAGGACATTTCTTTGTTTTTAGAATAGTGAAAGTAGATAAATCAATTTTACAGTTTTAAGATGAAGGGATGAAGGAGTTGAAACAATTGTCAGGATTTTTGCAACACATTTTGTATTTTAGGAGTAGGGCTGTCCGTTTTCGAATAATTTACTGTTCGATTACTCAAAACCGTGTTTGACCTAATATTCAGATATTCGAAACTGCCAGCTGAAACTGCATGCCATGCCGGGCAAAAGGTGCCTGCGGAGCGTGCCAGTTAAACTTTGTGTGCAACGATCGATATAGGCCGCTCATTGCTCCATTATGGTCCACTGCAGTGTTTTGCAGTAAGCATTTTATAACTGTCAACATGATGGTCAAGGGTTTTAACTTGCTAGAAGGACAGGAACAATGAACAGCCGTCGACAATAACGTTACCATCAACAACATCAAAAAAATTTCTTGTTCGTTGGTGCCATTGTGCCGTTCACTTTAACCTGCTAAAAGGACAGGAACAATGAACAGCCTTCGACAAAAAAGTTACCATCAACAACATCAAAAAATGTTCTTGTTCGTTGGTGCCATTGTGCCGCTCATTTTAACCTGCTTAAAGGACAGGAACAATGAACAGCCGTCGACAAAAACGTTACCATCAACAACAACAAAAGTGGCACTATGAGTTTACGTGCATAGTTTTTTGGTTTTTGCATATTCAAACCAGCAAAAAGCTATTCGAATGTTTAGTCGATGATGGAATATTTGGTATATTTGGGAGAGACCTATAGGAGTCTTGCATTCTCAACTCACTCTTTTCAGGTTTTATTTATTTAGTCATAGGTGTTTATAATTATGTACTTGTGTTTTTTTCCCCGATGTTAAATACACAAATAATACAGTGCATTGCAATGGTACATTTTTTTGTTTTTTAAACAAAATTCACAGGTTAAGCCCCTAAGTAGTCTAGACTACATCAAAAAACTGGAAACCAGTGTAGAATTTGTTTAGTTTTGGGTACATAAAGATGAAAATACGGAAATTACACGAATGATACTTTTTACGAAGAGATGAGCATTCATGAACTAATTTTAATATCCCATCAGAAACCAACAATGAGAGTTGCAAAATTAGCCAATGTATTGTCAGCGATTCGCATAAATACTCAAATCTGTCATTGAGCTAGTCAAGAGCCTCCCCAAAAACTAATGAGCCAAAAAGTTGTTGACCTTTGACCTATGTTGGCAATATGAGAATGATGTCCTATAGGTTGCCTGTGGTGATCAGTAACCAGCCACCTTCATTCTTGGCTCCCTCGTGTCTGAGTGCTAAATAAATCAGAGGGCAAGATCCACTCGATTCGCTGAGTGCTCATTATTCTCAGGTGTTACTTGCCCATTAAGAGCCAGCCAGACTTTCTCTCGGAGACCCCTGGGGCTCGATGTCGGAAATTTTAACCCCCAACAATCGCCAAAGCATGACTAAAATCTGCCTGGTAATCGCGGCTGATCTCTTTGAGAGATAATTTATCATTTGGACAGATTTTTTTTTTTGTTCCGGTGATTTCCAGAGGCAATTTTTCTTGTTTGTTGGTGCCATTGTGCCGCTCATTTTCTCTATCCATAATTTATTACTCATTCGTGGTTGAGTCATCGTTTTGAAATTTTTTTAATCTGATGGGAAATTTGATTGCTGCATGAATTATTCAGGAAATTGTGTTTAAATGAGAAGATTATTTATCATTTTTTTTTGGTGAAGCTATGCAAACATGGTTCTTAATTTGATGACTGGTAGGCCTATTGAAATTCTTGACAATGAAAATTGACTTAGCAGCGCTAGGCAAATAACTCAAAGGGATTATTCCAGGTTTTTTTTTTTTTGACTGGTTTTTATAATTTTGGTATTTTGTGCCCTCTGTCAATGAAAATAACTTCTTCTTTTTTTAATTGGATTCAGTAGACTTTTGCGCAGATTCAGAGGGGGGGCAAAAATAATTTGACCCAGATGAACTTCACGACAAGAACTTTTAAAGCCTAATAATTTATTCTCTAATAGATTTGTCAGGATTTTTCTTGATTTCAGGATTTTTTGTCAGGATCTTTAAAGAATCTTTTTTAAATCCGAAAATCCTGAGTATTTACCACTAAAGGTGTTTTTATCTTGAAAAATTTACACTATTATAGAACAAATTAGGAGATGGGTATTTTAAGTGGTGCCTTTAGACAAATACAAATATAGATCAAAGATTATGCATTGCTCTGCGGGCCCTCGGCAAGCCTCAAACCCTCGGCTGATTATTTCGTGGATTTATCATGTTCCCTTAAACTCAACCCTGTCTCTGAACTTTTCATTTAATTTATAGTTACAATGTTATTAATTATCTTTTACAGCCATGACTATGTAAATTCTTTTTTTGACAAAAACATTCAGTCAATTAACTTAATTTAAAAGCCATTTTGTTGTTGTTATGTTGTTCAATTATCAGTTGGCAACAATCCAATGTTTGTAACTGTGGAGAAAACAATCTACATTTCGAGTGCAGATCACATCGTCTCTGAGAATCCACTCTGTTTCCAAGACATCAAAGGCTACACTACGTATGTTCCGACCTCAGATGTTAATCTTCAAGTACAAATAAATTACTTCGTGTAGTGTGTCGTCTAATGTCCCATAGTACATGCAATTAGTGTCGGAGCCGGGGTGATTTTTCTACAGCAATCTGCTCATCAGAGGAGTACCGACTTGAGGTACACAGTATGCCGGGTCCGCTGATAAGTGTAATATTTATTGAGCCCTCTGAGTATCCCTCTCTGCTTGTCCGGGGCGACAGTGCACTGATGCATTGTGGGTTATAAGCACGTTGATTTCAGACTTGTTGCATCGCATGGAAATGAGGAATTCTAGATGAGCACTGGAGACAGATTTATTCACAGTATAGGGAGACGAGCCGGCGGTTTAAAGCAAAGCTCAGAGTATGGGAGGAATAGGAAATAAATTCAGAACAATTTGAATATGTTTGAATGTTGCCTGAAGATCTATATGGGAAATTTGTGTCAATTTGCTTGTAGCTTAGGGTCAGTGTTGCAATATAACAACAAGGGGAGTAATTTGCATTACATTATGTTTGTAAATCCAGAATGTTCCGTGTATCATGCAGGGTGCGCATGGTGGGTTTGTATATTATTGCCATCTGGAAAATAGCATATTTATTCTTGATCAGGTATTTTTTTAAGGTCGTCATTTCTAAGCACCATTGATATATCGATATTACTCGATTATTCAATATTATTTTGATATCGATATCGCCAATAGCAATTGTTTTATTGAAAAAATATCAAAAACAGGTCAGATTATTACCAAAGCAGATCTTCCGTTTGTACTTTTACTTTGTTTTTACTGTATAATAAAATATAATTCGGCGCTAACTTGTGTTTGTGACTGAAAATAAAATAATCATGAAATAATAAGCGGCCACGCTTTGTGCTCTGCGTTCGCTGAAATTCTTGGTCTCCCCTAATGTAAAACCTTAAAAGAAACCGTCTATTCTGGACAAACCCTCAGTGCAGAGATTTGTTTAAAAAAACATTTGAGCAAATAACCCCAGAGAAAGCTGTGGAAAATTGGGATTTAAGATTGATTTTTTTTTTATCAAGTGTCATCTTTATGGTCTTTAACTTTTACATGGGGATAATCGATATACTGAATATTCTCGATATTGGATTTCCGATATATCGCTTATTGCAAATTCTGATATCGACAGTGCTCAGTCAATTCCCAAGAACGCTGTTAGTTTCTTCAGAAGTTCAAAAAATAAATGTTTCAAGAAAGCACTGTCAAAAATGTTGTACGGAACAAACTGTTCCGTTCAACAACAAAACAGTCCCTATAAGGCATGTAAAAAATCATATTACAATTGGAGGAGTCAGATCTGTTAGGAAAGAACAATCGTTCAGAGAGTTGTATTTAAAAGGCCCATGCAATGTAATTTGTTTAATGGAATCCTTGGGAATGCACCTTTGTGTCTCACTTAACCTTTTTAAATTTTCGTTTTGCCATTTTCAAGGGTATTTTGGTACCTATTTGGTTTTATGCTACTGTTCATTTCCATATTCATGAACAAAAGTATGATGTCATTTCAGGCAGAAACATTGATGTTACAGCTGTTTCAGCACCAAAAGTTGGCAGAATTTTGGAGATTTCACCGTCATAAATTTCCTTTTCTTTGGTGATTCGTTGTTGTGCCAGTACATGGCAGTAATTGGCAATAAGCAAACTTTTCTCACAATTTTTTTCAATAAGCAAATTTTTGGGTTCACAAATTAAACAGAAACCTCCTAAATTGAACAGTGTCTTCCTGAAATGACATCACAGCAACAGCGCTTTCAGTTGTCCAGAAAGCACGGAACATTTTAAATTTTTAATTGTTAAGTGCCAAAAAAGGATTTCAAATATTTTTCATACATTTAAGAGGAGCCTGAGAAAATTGCACAAAATATGTTCCTAAGAAAAATTCACTTCATGGCCCTTGTAAAATGGGAATCAGGATCTTGTTAACTTGATACAGGATAGCATTAATAAATGCTAAAACAGATTCATAAATTACATGCCTGATGGGCTTTTTAGAACTGTGACGTTACTAAAATTTTCATTATTTTTCCAAGAAAGTTTTATTTATGACACATTACTTCTTGAATAATATATGAAGTTTGCTTTTTGCAGGTTCTGCATCCGAGGATAAACTGAGATGTGGATATCTGCAAGGAGAGAACTGGACTCGGCAAATGCCAGAAGGTCATTTGTAAACCCCCCCCCCTTCCCAACTAGATATTGATTGGCTGTGACGGAAGAGGCGAGAAGTTGCCGGTCATTCGTTCTAGTCGACGCTCTGACTGAATGAAGGATGATTCAGCAGCAGAATGGACATGTAAACAGGTCATGGTTGATTGAGGACGGGATGAGAAATCGCGGGATGCATCGTCGACCGCATACGCCAAAGCGAGAGCAAGACTTGCGAGCAGATAACGATGGTAAACAGAGATGGAGCATCTAGGATTGCACAACAGCGGACCGGTGTTTACTAAACACTCCCCGATGAGTCTGGATAGTGGTGTATCGAAGAGTGGTTTGGATAACCGGAGAGAGTCTTTAAACAGATGCCGGTTGTAGGCTCGGCGATAGGTTACACCGTATCCAGGCTTCCTTTACGTCAACAGGTTTGCTGGATGTGAGCACACATTGATTGCAAAATGGTGAACGAATAAAACCTTAGATTGGAAAAGATGGTAGAAAATAGACACAAGGACAGGCTATTATAACCTGCAGTTCGAAGAAAGTCAAGATTTCGGGGAACCAAATTTTGACTAAGTGTGAGTGAATTCGTCTCAGTCGAACATATTTAGTTGACTGGCTGTGTGAATGAAGTTGGAATCATGTTGTACAAGACGGCTTTTAGAAGCAAACATAACGCAAGGATGTACTCGGTGGCCTACGGCTTCATGCTGCCATGGATCTGGTCGGTCAACCGACTTCTGTCCTTAGTGATACGGACGACAGATGAATCCCGAAATGAGGAGGAGGCACCATGCTACGAACGCTGCGTGATTCTCCTCTTCTCGCTGCCTGTCTGCCTCGCCCTGATCATCGCGTTCTCCCCCTTTGCGTTGTTTGGTTTCATCGCCAGGGTGTATCTAGCCAGCAAGCGTGCCCCGTACATGTACTCCTTTGCAGACACACCAAGTCGGGTCAACGTTAACGAGTGTATATGGGCGGATCTCTCATCCAAACACTTCTTCAAACTCGCCGTTATCGATACTTGCCTTATGCCGGAGGGCATGTCAAGATTAAACAACCTCCGGAATGTTCAGACCCGGTCGGTCAATCTCGCACGTCGGATCATTAACTCGCAAGTCAGACCAAGCCCAAGGATTTTTGTCCAATCTCCATCGGACAGTGAACTGAAAACCTACAGCATACACCCACCGGCCTCCACCAACCCAATGAGTCTGTTTAATGTCGGAGAAAGCAATCAACTAGACGTCAGTGACGCAGAAGTGTCCTGTGTGACGTACACAAATATCCTACCGGAAGAAACGTCCTTCTTTGCGCAGGGTACCGATAAGATCAGGGATAATTGTGAGAACGGGGAACCCATTCACCAATGCAATGGGGACACACCTCTTACACCGGACACACCTGTCAATGGAGACATGTTAAGAGATTCTAGAGATGCCGATCAAGACTCAAGAAATGATCCGCTAGATAACTTGAACTCTGTGCCTGATATCGTACCCAAAGACATCTCGGATACCCCAACGCCATCAGAATCCTTGGCCTCCACTCCAAACTTAGACTGTAGCATTCAGATTGAGGTACCTATAACACCTTTCCATGAGCCAAAGCCCCACACACTCACTGGCGGTCCTCAACATCAAAAACTCCACAGTGAAAATAAGATAGGAGACGTTCCTTCACCGTCGGAACACGCCGTCAACATCAATTTTCCCGCCGGTTTGGACTTCATCTGTTTTCAAGAGGTCTTCGAGCGCAGAGCCGCCAAGAAACTTGTCAAGACTCTCCACCTGTGGTTCAGTCACATCATCTACGACGTAGGCGTGGACTCCTGGAGAATTAACAGACATTTCTTGAACAGTGGTCTGTTGTTTGCCAGCCGCTACCCAATCCTGGACGCAGCGTTTGAATGTTTCAGTCAGAGTCAGAACGAAGATCGGGCAGTTTCCAAGGGACTTCTGATGGTCAAGGTAAGAATCTGATTTTATTAGCCCAGCAAAAAGTAAACCCACAAATCTCAAGAATTTTTTTTGTCAATGTTTTGATGAATGAAATACAAAAATAGTTTGCCTTTCCAGAAACTTTGGCAGTAGCCAGAAATAACACACGAGTCTATGGGAAGTGGCTGCAGCGGCTAGCCAGTGGTTTCCATAGGTGCACGTGTTATTCCCGGACACAGCCAAGTAATTCGGACACGTACGGCTTTTTATATTTGCAAACGGCATTCCTAAATTTTAGTTGAAAGTCCTAAATTACTTTGCATACTTGAAATTCAGTGTCCGAAACTGATCCGAATGCAGCTTCGCGATGTTTCGCACTGAACCGACGAATTATAGCAACCGCGCACACGTGTGTGTCGTGTCAACGCTTGCGTGCGTGCTTCACCAAATAAAAAAGCGAACTACTAACGGAAATTTCCAACAATCGTTGGAAAGGCCTTCTTTCATTGATTTCTTCAAAATGACAGCATGCCAAAAAGAATAATTTCACAGGGAGTTTAGTTCCCTTACTATCTTTCAACCAAGTATGTTTTTCAACAATAATTACGTCAGTTACTTTTCGAATCGCTGCAAATGATGGACTGTAGCTTCAAATATTGGTCAAAACATTGTGGGGTTGGGCTTATTGGATCTGTCTGTTTAAGCAAGCGGCAGTTCAACAATTACATGTTTGTTTGATTGGCAAATGTAAATTCAAGAGTTGTGTCTGGGGCTGTCCCGAATATACCGAATATTTGATCATCAACTAAATATTTGAATAGCTTTTTGCAATTTGAATATTCAAAAAGAAAAGAAAAAATATGCAAGTGCACACACGACTGTGATGTGATTTTAATCGCAAAGTTGCATTTTTTATTGTCACTTTTTCTTGTTTTTGTCGACGCCTATTTATTGGTCCCATTCTTTTAGCTAGTTAAGTAAAGTCCATTGATGGTCATACAGTCCTTACTGCAAGTACTCCATCGGCCCATAATTAATATCCATCGCTGCGTGCAAGTTTTAACCGGCATGCTTTGTAAATTGTATGCAACTTTTGACCAGGGAGGAAGGCAGCACAGCTGCCGTGTGTACAACTTGATCGGCAGGTTTCGAGTATTCAAATATTCAGTCAAGTGCAGTTTCCAATAATGGAATACTAAATTATTCCAAAACAGATGGTCCTAGTTGTGTCGAAAAAGCCGATTACGTAAATATGGAATTCTGGATTCCAATGGATTCTGATCATTTAACCCTCCTATGCAAACATACATTCTGTGCCTTAAGTTGTCCTTGCTGTCAAAATCAATTAAGCATGGACGCCAATCGGTGGAGGAGGGGGGGGGGATATCATATTGTTTGTCCCCTTCCCCCCACTTTTTTCGTCCCTCTCCAAAAACAGAGAAACCTACATATGATTTTATAGCTCAGAATAGCTGAATCAATTACTCCAAACTTAAAAATGATGTTTAAATTACGATCTTTTACTTTAAAAAAAATGTGTTAAAAGTGGTCAGAAATTGCCTCAGATCGCACCACAGAGCGTCTTGTATCCTAAATTGTTCGGGGCCCTTAAGCGGGCCCTGAGCCCACGCCATAAGGGCTTCGCACTTGCATTAGTTCTGATCAACGAATGTCCCTCCCCCACTTTTGAAAAGTGATTGACGCCCTTGCAATCAAGTGACTGCTTTCAACCCTTAAGAATTCCCAGCCAACATAAAGCAGGATTGACTTGCCTTGGACTGATTAAGTAACCTGATTCAGCTATGCTTTTACTTTGGATGAGTGATAAAACAGCTGTGACCACAACTTGCCTGCTTTGTCTGTTGACCCAGTTTGACTAGACACAGTACTTGCTTGACATATGATCTGACTGCTAATGACAAGCTATAGCCCTTGTTAAAAGTATAGCAGGGGAAGTGGAAGTGAAATTTGACTGTCTGTGACTGCTTAAATAGCAGGAGGGTTAATAGAATATCCGAATGAACAAAAAAATATATCTGACTTGATTAATTAAGGATGTCTTACCAGCACTTTGGTACTTTTGTTCAGCTAGTTTGGGTGATGACTTGAACTTTTTAAAGTTTCAACAATTTCCCGTTTAAAGTTTCCACATCCAGAACTTTGAAAGTTTGTGAATGTGAACTATTAAAACACGGTGCCCAGCAAATTCTAATGGGAAATGTAAATTTTAAATTGGCAATCTGCATTCTCAATAGAGCATGACTCTGCCAACATGTTGTTTTCCAATCCTAACATATACAATGTCAACTTCAAAATTACATCTGGTGCCCCGTATTCCCTATGGGATTTGCAGTGAAGCAGCAGGTAACGCAAGGGGCCGGGTTATGCAAATCAACGTACGGTAAAGTACTTGCAAATGGTGTGAATATATTTGAGACACTCAGTGCGTGAGATTTGGAAATTGCAATGGGAATTGTTAAATAATCTGAGGACACTGACTTGTTTCAATAAGAAAATTTGATATTTGTTTTAAAGTTGTTTACAACGAGCAAAAAAGTTTAAGTCAAGAATGTGACTTTACAACTAAATATCTTGAAACATTAAAAGTTACTTTTATTGTTTAGTCAAAATGCAAGAAGATACAAGACATTAAACTGACATCAGAACGACAGCAGGATAAACGAATCCTTAAGTAATGTCTCAAGTGTTGTGGCCTAATGTAGGAACCCAATTTCAATTGACATGCAGATCATTCATGCGAAAAATTAGGTTGTTTTTTTTGCCCTTCCAGTGTTTGAATCAAAAAGGATAACCATAGTAACCACACAGTCTTTTTACGCAAAACTTGTCAGAGCTTGCTTGATATATAATTCAAAGCACATACTGATTGCTTCAGTATTATTTTTTTATGAAGAGAATCTATGCACACGCCAAAACTAAAAAAAAAATGAGTCCTTTCTAATGCAACTCGATAAAAATTCCTTTAGGCTAAAAACAAAAATGGGGGGTTTATTGTAACACCCTAAAAATTATCCTGGTAGGTAGGTAGGAAAACAATTGTGTTCGTAACTTTGTGCAACGTTGGTCAGTCGGTCGGTCTTTTGTACATACTTTCTTTAGGAATACCTTTAACAATATCCTGTTTAGTTACCCAATTCTATTATGAGCATTTGCTCATAATACAAACAGACAAAAAAAATTGCATAAGTAAGATTTCTTGTTATCGTTTCGGTTTGCAGTAACACCAAAGGGTAATAACTACTGTCGATCAGTAGACGTTTAGTTCTGAAAAGAACTTGTCCTGCTTATTATCAACTTTCGCTAAGTAGTTTTTAGTTCTGATAAGAACATTCCTGCTTAGTTCTAAACGCACTTGTCTTTGGTTGTCTCAACGTTTGGACTAGCCTGCCCCATAGTATGACTAGAGCCTATACATCTACTGAGCGACATGATACAAACCGAAATGATACTGATACTCCGCCATGCAAAGCCTGAAATCTTATATAAACATATTTATTTTCTTCAAAATATAGTTGTGTTTTTTTTATTTTTTTATTTTGGCCCAATGTGGCAATAAAAAGCTTTTGAGGTTGGCAGTTTCACCTAAAAATATATATATATTTGGGGTACCTTTAACAGATTAATTAACCTGATTAATTTTAATTTGCTAATAATAACCAAAAAAACCTTGCATAAGGAAGATTTTTTTATTTTAAAAATATAGTATATTTTAAATTGTGGCCAAATGTGGCAATAAAAACTTTTGAGGTTGGCAATTTGGCCCCAAAATATCCAGGTAGGCTGAGTTACCGTAAACACACAATATTTTGTTTGGCTTTATTGATGATATGGGAAAGGAATTGAATACCCATAGCAAATGTGAAATGAAATGGGGGGGGGATGCAAAGAATGACTTGTGCCTTCATCACAAGTTCCATTACTTCTACTTCATCTGTTCATCCATTACCCTGATCCACTCCGATCAAATCTGAAACATAATCCTTACGTTCCATAATCCTACCTCCTAGCTCAGGGATGTATCCAGGGAAGTCGACATGAAGTAAAGGTATTGAATATTTGAATGACAGATGTCTTCAGGGAATAGAAGACTGTTTATGATTTACTGTGTTTATACATTATAAAACATTTAATGTTTTCAGAGAGGTATTTTTTTATATCTATATGAAATATATTGTGGGTTGTATAATAAGTTGTTTTGCCATTTTTTGTTGGGGGTGGGGGGGGTGAGTAGGATTAAGTGTGTTTACTTATATATTTCTCCCCTTTTTCTTATTCAGAAACTATCATGTTTCTCAAAATGTACATGTGCTGGTACCTATGAAAACAGTCCGTGACTTTTTGATGTTACAAGCATGCAACTTTTTCTCAGATAAGCTGACTTCTCCTTTCTTTATTTTAACCAATTCCCTTGTATGCTCTTCAAAACTGAAAAATACTGTAGCTCAGTCTTGTATAACTCGGAATGTCCTCATTTTTGTGACTTCCCAGTTGTGTGCCTGTTTTTTTGTTAGAAAATTAGAAAAATGCTTGAAGAGAGCAACCCATCCCTCATCACCCTGTCAAAACATGGTGGGGAAGTGTAAGGAGGATGGATCTCTCCATGCCTTATGGAATATGTACGTCACTCCTTTTTTTTCTTTTTTTCTTTTTTACAAATTAGAGACACGTACGTGGACAGGTCAATAGTGTACTGTGATATGAGCCATAGCATGTAAGATATTACACAGCCTCGTCTCTGCTTTTGGCAAAGCATACTACTCTTCCATATTGGCCTCTCTTTTTTTTTAAGAATAAGAAATCTGTGAAATGTTTAGATTTCCGAAGTCAATTTGCAAATTTCATGGGAAATGAAGGGAATTAAATATGATTGAGAGTCATGGTGAGAACATAATATAAATGCTACATAAACTGAAATGATGACTGATTCAAAATTTGAATAGACCCTTATACATCTCTCAAATTAACATGTAACATAACATTTTTGACATTCTTAAAAAAATAGGTTTACT